CTTAGCCCTGCCCTCGCCCTGCCCTCGCCCTGCCCTCGCCCTGCCCTCGCCCTGCCCACGCCATCCACTTCCCTCTCCTTCCTCTCGTCCTTCCCGCGCACTCCTGTGTAATATAATGCACGCAAGTGCAAGGGTGTGAGAGTAAGAAAAGGCTGAGACAACGAATAGGAAGGACAGATCGCGCGGTCCATACCCCTTTTGTTAGGGTACTGCTCCGGCATTCCCTCTTGAACTGACTTGACTGACGTAAAACTTCTGATCAGAGCAGCAGCCCGCTAGAATTCTCCGCCAGTCAGCGCCTGAATTCGACCTAGCTATATTGCTAGCGTCGAAAATCAGACACAAACATGTCTCCAAGGATCCTCCGTTTATAATGACTGTATAGACAGCATCAATGCTCGCTCTGAACTTAACTCAATCGGGGGAAATATCGCAAACCGTTATGTGGGGAGGGAGTTGAGCGCATGTTGCGCTGGGGGAGATAAACAGCTGGAGCATGCACTAGACTTGCGGAATCAATGACCATAACAGTTGCCGCGCTCAGAAACGCAAATCAATCAATGAAACGAATGCCTGCAGAGCTGTTCCACGGCGTGATATCGGTGTCGGGCACGGCGCTGTCGCCGTGGGCGCTGGTGCCGGGGCCCGTGGCGCGGCGCAGGGCCTTCCGCCTGGGGGAGCTCATGGGCTGCAAGGTGAAGGGCGACGACGCCGCCGCGCTCGTCAAGTGCCTGCGCCGCAAGCAGCCCCAAGAGCTGGCCAAGCAGACGTCGCACGTCACCGTGAGTACGCAATCCCCCCCGCCCCACACCCTTCTCGCACTTGCTTCGTAACAAGAGAGAATAGTGAAATAGTGCGCCGAAAAATGGATACCTTTCTCATCATTTGTACATTCTCGCATTTACTTCGTAAGACGAGAAAGCATGGTAAGGGAGAGCCGGAAAACTGATACCTTTCTTGTCATTTGTACTTTCTGGCGAAGAGAGAGAATTGTATACGTGCGCCGAAAAATGGAGAAATTGTCTGCAGTTGCCGGGCCCTTGTACCGAGAAAGTGGATAAATCTTGTTGGTTTATTGGAGAGTAAGGGCAATGGAGCAAGAGTGGATGATAATATGTGGTTGGTGATTGAGTTGAGAGTGATTACGTATGGATTTTAGACTCCAAAATTATAACGTTTTGTGAAATTGTACATATATACAGAATCCTTTCAAGTGACTATTTGCGTGGAATGGAAAAATGTAACTCCACATTTATCAAAATGGCCTAGGATCATTTTCATGGATTCAAGTTGTTTTTTTAATCTCGAAGTATTAAGAAATATTGAAATTATGGTCGAAGTTTATCGTAAAATGTAGACGTATATGTGAGATTTGGGATTACGAAAAATATATGTCTTATTTAATCTGATTGCATTGTAACGTTGTTGATTGCTCATTTGTAAACCCATTCATAAAAACAGTATAAAAACCCTTGTTTCTAAATTTTCTTTCTCAGTTTTTGTATTTGTGGTTCTTGAGAAGGATTTGCTGTAAGACATGGATCCGTGAGTTTTGTAACATATTTCCCCATATTTCAAGTATATAAATACTTTCTCCAAAATAGTTCAATCTTCCTTAAGCCTTTGGGAATACACTGGCTCTGTACTTCGATTTTTCTATGGTGACCGATGACATTAGGTCACTGGTCACTGTTACACCTTCTACCTTACAAAATGAATCCTTTTTAACAGTGGTAAGCACATTTCTGAGTCAACGAGCCTCGCTAAGAAGGAGGTTCGCGAATTAATTAAAAAGAGTCATTTTATAAGGCAGGAGGTGTAACAATGACCTAATGTCATCGGCCACTATAGAAAAATCGAAGTATAGGTGGAGGCGGAATCGTCCACCCGAAACCTGCGTCTCTCGGCGTCACTCACGTTGTTACTTTCAAGGAAGCAGTGAGTAGGCGATGCGAAGCTCCGTGTTGCCAGGTTCGCCTAGTGACCAGCCTAGCCACCAGTTGGGCCTGTGGCATGCCGACCTTTTAGCGAAAGACGATCCTCGGAATATTCCGGATCCCACACATAAAAATCCTGACGAGGAGCATGATACCACCTGTCAGGTTGCCTAGGTTCCGGCGGTACTCAAGTCGATAGCCTCAAGGTGGAGGCAGGGAGGAGACGGGTTAGTGGCTCTGAGGCTTTAGCCCGGGTGGCCCCCAGTCGTGCTTCAGGTGGCTTCGTCGTGGCAGTGGCCCGAAGCTCTGGGCAAAGAGAAGGGACTTGTCCCGTCGGCCGCGGGGAGAAAGAATAAAGTAAAAGCGCCAGGTGTCCACTCCAGGGATTTATCCTCCCGGTAGAAATAATGAAGTGTAGGGTAGTAGCCCACGGAGGGTTTACAATGCGCGCAATATTTCATTCCTCTTCCTATTCCTATCGCCCCCTTGCGTACACTACACCACACGTGTCGGGAGACCACGCAGGAGCTTAGAGCTGGTCAGGGCGGGTGCCGCGCCCTGCTGACAGCTGGAAGAGGAAATCTCCTGTATGTCGAAATGTCGACCTACAGTGTGTGACATATGTGTGCCGGATCTCACCATTCATTGAGGGAAGAATGTCGCCACCTCCCTTACAAAACATTCACAACACGAATGGGACTAAAGACCAAAGCAATTGACTTAATGTAAATATAAACATCAATCAATCTCTGTATGTCGGCTTCTTACAGTGAGACACTGTTCTGTCAACCACTAAGGACAACTGTCTTCACGGCGTTACATGAGTCTGTACTTCTTGATTGATCAGATTGACGAATTTGGAAAATAACATTTTTTATTATTTCTGTCTATACTGTTTCGTTTCTATAGCTTAAGAATGGACAATTCATCCAACTTTACTGTGTTTAATTTGTTTTATTATGAAGTTATATTGTGCAAATAAAAAGTTTTAACATGAAATTACCCGTTGAAGACCACCACACTAAACTGGTCCTTCTTTATTATGCAGTCACAAACGAATAATCTTTGCATATGCAAATTATCTTTACTTTTATTTCCACAGGACTGGTTACATGATATGCACTACCCGTTCGTGCCAGTTATAGAACCAACGATAAAAGGCAAGAAAGCTTTTATTCCTAAAGACCCTGTGGAAATGATGAAAGACCTGAAGGACAGAAAAATACTCATACCTTGGATTATGGGTGTTGCAGCCAATGAAGGTCTGCCACAAGCTCTTCGTAAGTAGAACACTTTTTACATTCTCTAAAGTATTTTTCCCTCATGTTAATCCCGCACAATTGCAGAGTCTTCAAGGTCTCCCCTCCAACGCACTGCGTTGGATACGACGGGGTGAGTTAGGATAAGAATCACCGGCGGGAAAGTGCATTATAGAAAGGGAATGGGGATGAAATTTATCACGTGATTCAGGAGTTCAAAGTGGACTCTGGAGAGATTGGCGAATTTTGGATAATAACATTTTTTATTCGTCGTCGCGGTAGCGATAAGCCTGTGCTCTCAGAAAGATTGCGAAAATTAAGTTCTGCCAGAGTTGATCATTGTGATTTAGCAAAGAAAAATATTTAAATTTATTTATCCTAAAAAATTAAAATATTGTTTGCCCTATGATTCAAAACTTTAAATATTCAAACAATACTGCATACATATTTATAAATATGTAGAAACATATCAACAATAAATATAGCGCATTATAATATTAGTTTATTTCTCTATTGTATTTTCAGACTATAAATATACAAATTAAAAATGCATATAATTTCAGAAAAATATTCGTTAATCTAGGACACAAGTAACCATATTCAATACGTTTCACATTATACCTTTTTAAACTCATCTTCATCGTTAATTGGACATTGTACACTGAATCTTTAGGAATTCAAAAGAGAAAAAGAAGATTTCAAATTTTAAAACGTTTTCATTCAAGACAATGAATGCTTCATAATTTTAATATTTCAATCCAAAAGATTTTCTAATTTCTTTAAAGATTCCTTTATGCACATGTTCAGTTACATTCTTCCATTAAATATTTTTTTTTAAATTCAGGGAACTTATCTCAATTACTCGCCTTCCCCAGAAACAACAGTATCCATTCCATATCCATTCCATAAGAATGTACTCACGCACGTTAACTCTCTTCGGCGAACAGAAGGACTTCCTCAAAAACATGCGTCACGCTACTGTCAACTATTTCTCCGTTCATCCACATTTGTTTAAAAATGAAAAAGCAGTTCAATGAAGTTCATTGCGGTACATATTTTTATATGTTAATTTAATTAATTTATTAACAACCACTCCTTATATTTCTTCTCACATCCTTTTCATTTTAAAATTGGCAATACTCAATTTCTGTTCCAAAAGAACGTACATATTTTTCACATGTGGCAAAGGGTAAATAGAATATTCCACGTCTCCTAATTCTTATCTTAACATGTCAATAAATTTGAACTATGAAATAACACAGTCGATTTATTTCATTAAATTGGAGAGAACTTATAGAAGAAAATATTGTTAGAATTCTTATAGATTGGAAATGAGTCTAAACTGTATGTGCTACGAAACACAGCCAATATACATTTACGTATTTTGTTCTTGCTGGTTTGGGGGAATATAACCTACCGTTCTCAAATTTTGCGGCCACTATTGAACGACCGAGAAAAAATTCAGGGTGTTCGCGATTCAAAATGTTACCCCAAAATGCGAGCGCGAGCGCGCGTGCGCGCATGCGTGTATGTATGTATGTATGTATGTATGTGTGTGTGTGTGTGTGTGTGTGAGCAACGCATTTACACAGCATATTGCCCATTAAAGGTGAGGCGGGGCGGTGCCGAACCGAGCGGAAGGGATGGGAAAGTAGTAAATACCGGGTATCTAGGTAGTGGATCATAAAAAGTAGATTATAATTTATTGATGTTTGAGAGTTGGGGTGCAAACGTTTCAAGAATTGGACCTCTTAATATGAAATGAATGCATTTAAGCTTTTCTTGCCACATACAAGCGTCAGGCAAATTTTGACGCTGATGGAACAGGTGGTCTTTGTTAAATCGAGTTAGGAATAAGGTGATATTGGCGGACATACAAAACGTTTTAGATTAATCTGTTGAAAAACAGGTGGAAGTAACAGTTGTACTTGAGTAATACCTTTCAGTAAGAAATCAGTGTTTGTTCCAGTCCATAGAAATAGTAGTCAAGCAACATAGTGATGAAACGTGATGCTAGAAACGCGTTATTTATATAGATCGGGTAATATAAAGTAAGTAATGCAAGACGAATTGCTTCAGAAATATCTATTTGTTCCTGTGTGTGAAATCTACTATTAAATACAAAATTGTTTCATTGTCAGTTTTTTTTTTAAATCCATGAGATATCAAAAATACAAAAATAAAAAATATGTTCTTCACACCAAAATGAACCAATACAAAACTATCGTATGTACACATACATCTTGACTCTGGGTTTCATTAATTGCGAAATGTATGCATAATTTTCGCGATGCGGTTTTGGTTTCGAGTTCGTAAAATTGGGCAACAAATTTGTTACAATCAGTGGCAACACAATGCGTCGGGAGGGGACTTTATCTTTGCACCCGGCGCTGGGACGACGCGCCGTCGCTACGCTTGACGACTTCCGCTATCTCTTGACCTTTCACCTCAAAACGCATTGAATATTTCACGTCACTTTGATGTGCAATGCAGGAACCCAGACTGTCTAAAGAGGAATTTTAAAAGGAAAAACGAAACAAAATCCCAGGCAGCAAAGGGTTACTTATTGAAAACGGAAAAGTAAATGTAAATCATTTGAATTTGTAAAGGCCGCTTAAGGCTTGAGGGGCGGCGGGAGCAACAGCAGTAGCGCACACCTCACACACCTCGATTTTACTTGTTTCCCAGCAAAACTGGGTTTGAGCGTGTAGTAAAGGAGGCCGTGGTGTGGGTGTGGGTGGATTTTGCCCGTTGCGGCACATTCTCACGAAACGACATCCCCAGCGCGGAGTAAGAGAAGTAATTGGCAGGGGATGCATTCACGGTGCGGCGCAGCTTCGCAACTTCCGAGTAGTCTTTCGACACGTAGAAGTGAGATGAGAGATATTAAGGCCCATTCACAATTCAAACATAAGCATAAGCATCGCGTTAACGTATAAGTTAGGACTACGTTCGTAAGCGGACTCATTCACAATGCGTTCGCATAATCATAACACGTAAGACGTTAATTTAAAAGCTTGCACGCTTCAAGCTTCTGTGCTTATGCTTAAGAAATGAACCAATCACAGTACGTTAACTCAAAATCAAGTATCGAAATAGGATCGAAGTCGATAGACGAACTAACGCCATGTACCATGAGCCATGGACACAGTCGATACCTCGAAATCGATTCTCAAATCTAACAAATGGTAAACTAAAAAGTCTCACAGCCAATAAAAAGTATTATTTTACGTTTTACTTGCTTACATTTATGGTAAACATTGTGAATACTTCAGTCTATCACTTTTCTGAATGTTTATGTCTGAGCGTTATGCCTATGTTTGTGTTTTTGTGTTTCCATTGTGAATGGGCCTTTAGGGAGTTTGTGTACGCCATAGCGTCAGCACTACCGCACTTCTGCGCATGCGCAGGTGCACTAGTGATGCAAAACGTGAACTACCCATGCGCAGAAGATCGATAGAGCTGTAACGTTCGAGGGTGCACAAACTCCCTATTCTAGGGAGTATTTGCACGGCGAAGCGTTACGGCAATCGACAACGCTATCGGTCTTCTGCGCATGCGCAGTTCGAGTTTCAAGTCACGCTTCTGCGCAGAAGATCGAAATTGCAGTCAATCATTATACGCTACGCCGTCCTTATTCCTGGTCAGCGTTGGAATATCCGAAGATGCCTCCGGTCTATCTTTCTGATTCCAATTTGATAAATTACGATATTAAAATAAGTATGATGAGAATCATGATATATTTGAGTAACTTGTTTTTCTTTTTTTAGAAACAATGGTGTTTCGTGCAACATTGAATCAATTGAACGAAAATCCAACCAAGTATCTTCCTCAATACTTGGAAATGTCGATTGAACCACAATCTAAAGCAGAAGCCATTGCAAAAAAAGCGTGGGATTTTTATGTGAAAAATGACACTCTTACTTACGGAAATTTAATAAAATTGGCAGAGGTATGTGAAAATAATGAAGCAGTATTTTGTAACCGATAATATTATACTGTATTTTGTGAAAATATGAAATAAATATCAATATATTAATAACCATAAATCAAGATGAAAAAGTCCTCTGGATCTGCAGTTCATCACTGTATTTCGACATCGTAAATATGCAGACCTTCAAGAAGGAATTTTTAAATAATAATTAATTATTATAAGTAAATTAATTAAATAGTTTTATGGGCTAATAATTATCAAATTGCAATCAAATTGCATGACGGCTCCTATGCCGCAGCAGCTCGGTCATGGAGCAGAAGGCTGCAGGTTCGAATCCTATGTAAGGCATTGGTGGTTTCACATCGCTTCTCTAACGTGTTGGCTTCTCTCATAACGTCACGTGCCTCATCTATTGACCCATTCAAGACAAATAATTCATCATCACCTTCATTATTCGCCCCCACATTATTCTCCTCCCTCTAGAGAATGCAATTTAAAAGCAAGCTACCACTATGATCACCTATTGAGAAAAGTGGAGGAAATAAAGGGTTTAGGTCTTTGTTCACGCTCAGAAATAAGAATGTCACTCATTACAGTACTACAAGGAAAAAAGTAAATAGCAACAGATTTCTAGCCTAATGTCCCAGTGAACTTCTCTCAAACAATGGGCTGCACGAAAACTAAAAATGTATTTTAAGCTACATATAAGTTTATGTCTAAATATCTGTTGACACAATACATTGTTTTGATGTAAATACCAAAATAGTATTTTTTATACGCAATAGGTGATTAAGCATTTTTTATAAGAAAATACATATGATTTAAATGGAGAATGTACATTCATTTCTTTTTAATGTAAATTAAATTTACGATAATTGTGCATGTTATTGTAATGTTTTTTCCTTCGTGATTTTAACTTGACCTGACTTAAGGCAAATAATACTGAATTGTTTTATAAATATTGTTATTTAATGCCTAACAAAACCCATAAAAATGAATTGGTCATAAAAATCTAATAGATTCTATTTATTAAGATAACAACTGATTACAACTATTTCATGGAGTGGTGAAAAGTGTACACCTTCATACAGAAGCCTCAAAGCTGCAGTGTTTGTATATGAATTTTCGTTTCACATACGTGATCCCGTTTTACACTAGGTAAAGTATTGGCAAGTTATTAATTTGTAACAGACTATTTTCTTCATTTAATTTATTTTTTTAAATTTTATTTTTATAAAATTAATATGCTTGATACTATACAAAGCTTCTAGGTTCAGTTTATTTACTGATGGCTGTGGGTATCTACTATTCCTCTGAGTTATTAGAATAATTCTGCGCAAGCCGCGCTGGATAGCGCCTTCCTGAAAGCTCCAAACTGATAGCCTTTGTCGCCGTGCCATCGTAAAGATGCCTCCCGACATATAGGACGTTCATGTTACCACTCGTTTCCGACCGCAAAGGGTTAATGTGGTTCTTATATAAGCCTATCCATATGCCAAGGTTAATTTTTTCTATTCATATTTTGTTTAAATAAAGTCGATATTGAAAATAGTAACATTGAAATAAAATGAATAGAGGAAGCACCCGTATTTTATACAAAAACAAACATTTCGAAGGATTTGGTTGTTTCTTCCGGGAAAATACCAAAGACATACTATTTGAATTACGTTTGTGCAATTTTGAAATAGTACTGTAGACATCAAATGAATGTTATGGATATTATTTGTAACAACTGACAAGAGATACAAATACGCCTGCAGAATCTCGCCGTAATATCTGTTAACTCAGGATCGAACATGGTGGATGAGAATAATCCGTAATAATAAGTCAAGTTTTTTAAGAAACAAACACGGGGAAAATGATTTTTCTATGAATTGTTCTTGGATAAATGTTTAGTCGATGGGAAAACGTAGGCACAGAAAAACTGCGTTTAGCTATTACTACAGTGAACTGTTGTCAAAATCGTTTGGTACATTTCCAGCTAGAGAAAAGCTAAAAGAAAATTCATTTCTGAATAGTTTGCCTTCAAACAGGCTTCTGATTGACTACTTTGACCAATAAGTTAATGCAAATAATATGTTGTTTTTTAAGGTGTTCCTCAAGGTGATGATATACGATATCTTTTTCCTGATCGGATAGGAGGCATAAAAGTAGAATATGAAGAAGCGGTATTCCCTACTGTCGATCGTTTAGTAAAATTAGTGCACAACTTTGCACGAGATGGGTAAGTCAGACAAAAGTTATTATTAGCAAAAGTGAACAAATACAATTGCAAAACAATGTAATAAAGCTATCACTGTTCATAAAACTGTTTATTTCAGAGATCCGACTCCAGAAGAAATAGATCTATTGAATAATGTTCTGTGGCCTCTAGCTGAAGGAAGAAACTTTGAATATATTGACATTGGTGACAATATCACCATAGTTTCTGACGGATTTTATTCAGATCGTATGGCCTTTTGGGACAGCATTGATAAAGAATTCAATGTGCAGCCTCATACAAAAGATGAACTGTAATTTATTATTAAATAAAATATCTTTAATGTTTCTGACCAATCAAATCATTTGGTGAAACTAAGTAAAAATATTTTTAAAATCTGCTCCAAGATAGTGTGCATGCCTCTTAATAATCCATTCTCATAATAACCCTTACCTCCTAATTAACCTTAGGAAGGCTGTCAATATTCCTTTAGGGTATACTGAGGCGGATCCGAAAAGTATCTCAGGGGATGGGGATCAATTTCACAATTGTTTTTGATTTTTTATTTTTAGCTTGAAATAAAAACTGTACGATTATTCGTAATGGGAATGCTGTTTTGGAAGTAATGAGATCTATATATTGTAATTATTAGGGAACGAATTTTCATGTAATGTCATGTTTATAGGAACATGATACCCATTGAACATTTTTACTGTTTTTTTACCGAGATTACCAGACATTCAGAATGAATTAGAACCATTTTTAATTTACATATTTTTACATATTTCTTACATTTTTCGTTACATATTAATATATACTACGTCGAAGCAGAACAAATTTAGAAGCGCATTCGTAATAAATGTTACGGAATCATCTTTCTTACTAAGGAATGTAAAGATACTACGCTTCTATGAAAACCATATCTTTGCCAATTAATTTGCATTGTATTAATTAATGGATTAATTGTCAAACTTATCTCTCCCCCTCCCCCTCGCTGCTTCTTAAAAATAGTGAGAGTCAAGGATGAGCGCATGTTTGTGAATCAGAAGTAATTTCAATCATGTGCTTGGTCATGTTTAAAACAGCACATTCGTAAGTCGATACAATATTTTTACATATCATGAACTTATCGCGATTTTGCATTTGAAGGTGGGGTGGGGGTATATTCAGTTTAACCCTCGCCCCTCCCTCCGGAACCCATCATCGGTTAAACGGCTAAATTATTCTCTTGAGCACCAGCTACCGGCCTCCGGTAACAAACATTGTATATACTACGAACGTATTTTATGTGTGCTGAAAACGAGTAAATAATTACTTCTGTAAAGGTATAAGTTTCTTTCAGATGCTCTCGATCCATGTTACGATCCGATCAGCGACGTTATGTCCCTCGAAAACGCTTGTATAGAGCAATTTTCAACACTATAATGAATTTTATTTGACATATTTTCTATGTTTTCTTAGATATTTCGAAAAAATACATTTTGCTTTTTTATTACAATGAATTCCGCTCTCTAATAAGTATATATTTGAATAAACTGAGAAAAATTACGAACAAATGTTGGCTTGGGGGAATGGCGCCTATGCCCTCCTCTGGATCCGCCGTGGTCATGTCATGATCAAAATGTTATCACATAAAAGCGTAAAGTACGCTAATCAGAATGTTTACTTTATAAAACAGTATATGACACACGAGTCTACATATTCCTTCCCGAATACGACTGCTGCTCCTGTAATGTGAACGTGTACATAATCATTAATTCGTATTCAGTATTTATCTTACAAGTGACTAAAATAGACCGCCGAAAGCAAATTAGTTGATACTCGTAATTCACAAGCGAGATAGCGCGAACGCTTACAAACAAGCACACAATGGTATTTTAGTAGAGCCATGTAGACAAGGTCTCTGCGGGTCATCCACAATGGTTTCTTCGATTCACGTTTGTTTTTTCTTGTGAACCCTTCTTTGGCGTCTCTTTTAGCTGGAACATCACTTTCTCCAGAGCTGGACACTGGAGCAACTCCTTCAGCGTCACTACATTTTTCTTGCTCTTCATCGTCGTTGACTTCCTCTGCCTTTTGTACATCGAATGATGCGAGTCTTTCAGTGAATCTTCAAGCTTAACGGCATTGACGCGCACATTGCAGACAACTTCAGGCTTCAGCCGAAGATCTTGTTGATGTGCACGTAGCATTCTGTTCCAAAAATCTTCAAATGATTGAGACTTTCTACTGGTAACCATGCCACAATTCATAAGGAGACTTTGTTTCAGTGGAAGACTTTCCGGGTCGATTCTGGAGGTATGTGGCAGTACTGCATGCTTCTGCCCACAGTTCGTTTGGCAACTTGCTTGGATTCAACATAGAAAGCGCGCACTTGACAATGGTTCGATTTTCACGCTCCGCAACACATTTTGCTGTGGAGTATACGGAGCAGTAATACAGTGTTCTATGCCCCTGCTTGCTAGCAGTTTAGAGATTTTCTTGTTGTCAAATTAGTTTCCTCCGTCACACCTCAGTTGCTTGATAACATGTCATTCAAAAACTTCTCATGACTTCATTCAAAAACTGAAAAAAAAGAAAAAAAAAGGAGCAAACTCAATATTTCTGCTTCAAAAAGAAACCTCGGCGGAACTTGCTAAAATCATCTTTAAAAAACTCATAGTAGCTCTCCTTTCCGAGAGATTCAGTCGACATTGGTCTGTTTACATCGGAGGATTTATTCACCAGTTACCATCGGTCGAATCGTCCGTTTTTTGAATGACAACCTATGCATTTTTCCCAGTGCACATCCACCGCAGAATTCTTCCTTGCCCTCGTCCACGTTGATGTCCTTCTGCTTCAGCACACTCTTCACATGTTGAATATGTTGATGGACAAACCTTTCATGGTGAACTTGCAATATCTGCGATGATGTCACCATTTTCACTTGAACTTGTTGCGTCGGCTTCACAATGCGCGTGTTCAATACATACAGACCATGACTAACATATCCTGTCGTCATCCTTGATAGGATTCAGGGACAGGATCTTCAATGCTGTCACTTATCTGATCATAAGTCTCGTAGATAAATCCTTTCTCGCAACTGTTTTCACGGACAATGAAAAGGGCACTTGCTGCAGGAACATACAAAACGTGTTTCAGAACGACATTCGATCAAGCATTATTCAGACATACTAGAATTTCACACTCCTTTGTCCATGAGCCACCATATTCTGAAGCTGGATGAGCAATATCCTGAGCGAAATCTTTTCAGGAACGGCAAATTTTTCATGCGATGTAACATAAGTGACTAGTTGATGTGACGTGATGTGGCGCCACTGTCGCAGTACCACTTGCCGGCTTTAAAGTTATCGACTGAGGCACGTATGTCTTGCGAAATACTTGCATCAGACTAACTTTTGTTTCCAGCAGCGACATTTGTCTTCTCCGGACACTATGCTGCCCAATATCCCTACAAACTAGTGGCATGAAAACTTTGGATTTGCACTTTGAACGTTCTTCTTTGATTTTTCCCCGGTGTCACTTGTCACAAGACTTCTTGTTAGAACCACCGCGTGTAACAATCGCAGTCGATTCGACATTCCCTTAATTACGCAATTCTATCGCGCACAATTTTTAATCAACAAATTCAGTTTGATTTTTGGACGAAATCGTGTCTCAAAAGTCTTTAAAATATCATATTTTCCCAGCATAGATAAAACGCCGCCATGCAAAATTCTCTCGGACAAAATATTTTCTTCATTCTTCAAGTTCAATCAAATCAACGAACAACTTCTGCAGTAAAAAAAACAGTACGTTTTCTTCAGACGTTTAATAACGGATCCACTCACTAGATAATACGATTCACACGTCACTGGGCTCATAACCCATTAATGTCTTTGTATAAATGTTATTTTATTACTCATCTTGAATATACTACAAAGTAAAAATATTCATAAACTCAGTAACAAAGCAAGCCAGCACAGGCGCTTAATCGACAGATCAGCACAACCAGTCCAAAAAGTTCTAAGAAACGTACACAGATGGCGTTACTGTCTGCATTTTTCTTTCCATGTTAAGTCAGAATCCATGATTTATGATTCCTTGATAGTGAAAAATTGATTGGCGGCAAAATGTATTATTCCTCCATGTTTTACTGTGCTTCGGAATATCTACCCCCACTCCTTTACTAGCATTAGTTGGATTGAGAATAATGATAGGAACGCGATTGGTGACAAAATCTGGTGTCAGAAACATTCGCTACCATGTAGTAGAAACTATTTCGCATCGAAAAACGAGCTACAGATTTGATATAATAGTCCTGTCGTCAAAATAATGAAGCCTCACATTCTTCTCGCATCTAGCGAATAGAGGGCTCTAGAAAACGCGCAGGACAATCCTAGGTCAACTATAGCGCGTAAATCATTCAGCCGTTTTTGTTTTGTTTTGTTTCTTCCAAAATTGATATTTCCCAATCAATCTGGCTAATGCCGCGTCCCCTTGAATTGAAAACCCATATTTTAATATTTGGGACTAAGGTACTTTACAGGAAGCCAGAGATATTTTCATAAAAAATTGGTCCATTTTTTTTATTAAATTTTGTGGGATAGCCTAACCGATGCTTCAAAGAATGGTACGGGCCTCATGTTCGTTTAAATCTCAGATTTTTTTGAAAAAGGCAAAACTGCAATTTTTCTGGTATCTTCCTTGAACTATAATGTTGAAAACAAAAGTTTTTCCTTAATAAAATATTTCTATAAACACACGCCATATTCAATTTTTCGAAAAATATTTTCGAAGTTTTCGTGAAAATTTGCATGTAATATAGGCAACGTACAAATATTTGCAATATTTTTTCTAAAAACAGGTCAAAATTTGTCTACTCATATGTAACAAGGGACGCTAAGAAATATGGTGCTCGTTCCATTTTTGGTTACCTTCCGTTTTCTTGGAAAATAGTTACAGGTTAACATTTTAATACTACAAAATTGATGACAAATATTTTTGCCTAAGGCAATGTCTGTTGTAAAAAACCAGCCCTTTAAAAAAGGTCACGTATAATACTTTAAGAAAACGATGAATTTTCGCGCAATTTACGCTTGAAATTTACACAATTTCTAACAAAACCATGTCCTCAAAAACCGTTCAAAGTTTTATCTTTAATTTTTCCGCAGATAGAAGGGATGCTTAAAATAATGACCCAAATCCCATTTGTGCCAAAATCTCCATATGTTCGAAAATTGCAAAAACTTAATATTTGGAAACTACAAAATGGAAGAAAGATTTTGATCTTCAACAAAATATGTTGAAAAAATTGCTCATTAAAACAGTTGGGTACATTTGTTTGAAAAAACTAGTTTTCGCAAAAGGAAGCGGGATAGTGGAGCAAGATAGGCAAAAGTGCTCCCCCATCCCACCCCAGATAAAAATGTATATTGAAAATCATAATTGATGTGCAAACACCATTTTTTTCACTTTTAAATATTGGCTTTAATCATGTCCCAAGAATTTCTTTAGTTGTTTCTATAGGATTTTCACCCTTACAATAAACAACAAAAAGAGGGGAAAATAGAAAAAATTGTTTTTTAAGAATATCTACTGTTCTGACACAATCATAAAAAGGGCTAAATATAAATTGTAGTCCTGTAAATTCTCTACACTTTCCCAAAAATTCAACCATTAATTTTATAATTTGCACAGCTCTAAAATAAAAGCTAGTTTTATTTTCATTCATTTCCATAGTGTTTCAATTTTTATGTTTATTGGAAAAGGTAAATAATGGTAAATCGAAATTGTAAGAATGTTGTAACCTATTGTAATTTAGATATTTAACAAATCAAGATTTAACTTGCCAATTCAGTAAAATATAGTATCCTTTACTTCTGACAAAAAACATGACTTGTTTGAAGGAGGTTGGTGCCATCTATTCTCCTAATCAACAATTTTAGTTTTTGATGAAACTGCTTTTTAGTTGTTCCTGGATTTTTCCGTTCAATTAAAATATTCTTTGCCATAAGGGATCATGTTAAAAAGTAGGAAAGAAGAGATGGCAGCTACAAATCATGAAATAGGTTTTATTAAATCACTAAATATACGTTATTTCAAGAACAATGGTGAAAACGTTTGTGCAATAAAAGTACCTAATGATCAATGTATAAATGTAAATTTTATTTTCATATTTAATATAAAAAAAACATAACATAATAAGAAATAAAATTAAAGTTCAAAAGCATTAGCTGTCATGAATTTTGTAATAAAATTCTCATTGGGAGAATTTACAATAAAATATGAGTTTGAGAGAGTATCCAAGAAATAATATGACTAGGTACAAAATAAATGCACATCCAATAAAAGTAGAGAAACCATGGTTTCTCAACAAAAATTCCTACAATTATCAGGTTAAAAATATTTTGATTACTGACAATTCTATTGCAGGAGTAGTGTTATAAAAATACACATGAATGTTTCATTACAGTTCTAGCAGATATGTGATCAGTCAACAATTCAAACCACAGAATTCACAATTAGTGAGTTAAGTTTCTCTGATGATACATCTCAGAAGTAAAATGTGAATTCACTAGCACTATACTCATTTATCTACAGACACCATAATACAAACATAATGCTGACAATATACACACGAGAAAACTCAAAACTTCCCTTTCATCCCATTACGAAGTGAACATCATTGACCAGAAAAATTCTTCTTCTGTTGGCATCTAATTTGAGCATCCAGCAATATTAGGCAAGTTTGTTTTGTAATATTTCTGACCTTTGGCAGAAATGTCTTCATAAAATAATTTCGTTTCTTAAAGTTTGATTTGTACCAAAGAAGAAACAATTTGCAAATTCAGGAATAATTTGGATTAACTTAAATTCACTGATGATGAAAGATTGCTGATGACAAATTGCTGATGATGAAATATTTTTAAAACAAAAACTTTTGACATTTATAATTTTTCCATTTGAAATTCAATTTTTCTTTTTCCAATAGAAAAATGACATGAAGGGTCTCCAAAACTCTACGCATCAGTTCAACATAATTTACTTTAAATTTTCCTCGATAAAAAGTTTTGAATTTTAAATTGGTGTATAGTAAATTGTTAAAAGTTGGCAAGAAGGAAAATATGTACCCATCTTCGTAGACAATAGCTACTAATTATTGGTCGTAAAATCTCCATTTCATTTCATTTTAATTTATTTCAACCAATTTGATTCACTGAGAAAAATTCAATTAATTTTGACACTAAATTTTTGGACAGATAAAAAATTGAATTGAATTGATGCTTTAGTTTACGTGGCGAGACTCTGCCTCTTCCGTCTGACCACGCAATTTTCACTACTCTCCTTTCACCCACTAGCGAAGAAAGGAGGTATTTCTTGGGCGACGAAACAGGCGCTTTGAATTTAGCTCAGAGGCATCATTTAGGCTTGAGGATCTTTTACATGCAATTAATCTATCAACATGGGACAGCCGGCTTTACTTTCCCTCCAAAGGAAGGCGTACAAAGGATTTTTTGCCCTTAAAAATTCACGGCTTCAATCTGGTTTGAACCCGCCAACTTGGGTATAACAGTGCAATACGCTAACAGTTCGACCATCGCCGCTGCCAAAAAAATTAATTTGACCTGTGTTATTGAGGTAAAACATTTCTTATCAACCAAATAGCTTAATTAAATTAAATGGAAACCAGAAATTTTCAAAAACATCAGGCCTCCTTGGCTGAAACACTAAGACATGTAACAGATAAGTCAGTAATCAATTTCTATTCAAAAGGCAAATCACAAAACAAAATTGACTGCAATACAATGTAGCAAAGCACAAACACTTAAATAGTGCATTTGGTTAATTAACTACATAATTCAGAAAATTAGAGACATCAAATTTCCTCTAAACAAAATTTCTGCGGAAAACGATAGTCTATAAATTGATTTTTTTCATCTTGTAAAAATATTAAAATGAAATAAAATAAATATTTAAAATATGAATGAAGTTGCACAATGTTTTCATTATAACAATATCTTATAATCTCACAGAGCTGGTAATCACTAAAGTCCATGCTGAGCATCAACAATATCATAAGCAATATTTCTACATGAATTACAACTTCACAGAATGATACACTAGATGAAAATGAGCAAATATTCATGCAGCAGTCATATCTGCATACAATGAGGTTAACCTTGATTGCATTTTTCTAGTTTTACTTCTAAATTTTCCTGAAGAACCTTGAACTTTCTATTATCAGAGTTATCTTTTCATGTTTAACTGATGCATCAGTAGTAGGCACACTACCAAATTGTTCACACACCATGTACTAAGAAAGGCAGTGTAGATAATCCAAATCAGTACCCAATGCAATTCAACAGGAATTTACAATAGAGGTAAATAATCCCTATTGTTTGCTACATGCAATTTGTACAAGTTCCACAATTCTAAAGCAAAGAAACACTTTTTCTCCTTGAACAACAAGCAACCACAATTGCTTTTTGTTGTTGTTTTTCAAAGGAAGTAGAAAATGTATAATAAATTCTGAGTCAAAATTACAATAATTTTTTCATCTGAAGCACTTGAGTGTTGAGCTAAACTAAAAATTCTAAAGTTTCATCTTCACTGAATATCTTTTTCTCAGCCAGAGTAATTAATGTAAGTCCACAAGAATCCCCTCCATTCATAAATTAAACAATTCAAGACCAATTATGAGCATCAAAGGAAATGCAAGAGAAAAATTGCACAATCATTTACATACATGAACACATTTGATAATGTTCTTATGCTTTCTGATAATATAATATTTAAAAGAATATAAAAGTCAAACACAAACAAAAAGTAGTTTGTAAAACCTTTGCAGAAGCAAACTTTTCTTAAATTCTTACAACTGCATATCCTCTAATTACACATTTCTCCTGTTGAATTATAAAACTGTTGATTGGACACCCTGAGGAGTAACAATTCATTATAAATATCTTCACACACTTCCTGACATACATAGTTTAATTAAAATGAACATTTTCTGCATTGCTTTTATTTTCTTTGCATTTTTAGCACATTGAAGCTGAAGTAAAAGCAGTTACCTCCTTTATGTTATTACAATGAAAACTAATTACATTCCAGGCATTTTCAATTTCCAAGCAAATTAGGCCCATGAAAAAAATCTTACTTGCATGATATTCATTTAAGGAATATGAAAAAAATATCTACCAGTATGTACTTATAAAACTGAATCAAATACTCAAAAATATTGCTTTCACAGTTGATTTCATTTTCATTTACTTTTCAAACAGCATGCTTGCAATAAAGCTTTTTTTTTTTCTTTTTCTTTCTTCTTCAGGGCTGTTAGACTTTTTCACATAAATTCGAAGGACCCTTACGGAAAGTTTTACTTAAAAATAAGAACCAAAATGTCAAGAATAGAACACATAAAAATTGAAATTTAACAAAGCTACATATAAATAATTTAAAACTAGGAAAAGATAATTTGTTTGATCTGAAATTCTTCATATTGATAAATACTAGGAATCAGCAGTACTATCAGAATGTCTAACTGATATTCACTTATTACAATAAACTAATTACCTTATAATTGAATGGGAAACTTCTTTGCCATTTTAAGGGTGCAATCTGCCATTTGCATTTCTTCCTCCCTTTCCTTTTTCAGCATTTTTAATATTTCTTCTTGTACTTATAATAGCCTTTCTGATATCAGTTATTTTAAAGCCTCTCCCTGAGCTTTCTTCTTTCCATTCTTTTGTGTTTTAAAATAACACGTGAATTCTAGTAAAATAAGATTTTGACATGGAACTTTTCAGGGACAAAGAAAAGTTTAGTACCTAAAAAATGGGTAATATATGGGTAATATAATGGGTAATATCTAACAGCCCTGAATCTCACTACAGTACTATGGCATCCAATCTACACATAATGAAACTGTCAAACTGTAAGGACACAATTCAACAATGGTAACTAGACACTTTCATTATCTGAGTACCTTCACCAACAGGTAGCTAAGATAGTAATGTCGAAGTCTTACAAAGAGAGTTCTATCAGTCATACTCCAAAATTTCTTTAAAGATAGATAGATACTCAGCATAGACAAGATATTAGATTTTAATTACATAAATGCAAATCTTCCATATCATACATAGACATTGTATCTTATCATCCAATTCAGATAAGACTGCACAGTAAACCTGTCTAAGATGAAACAAAATGGTTCCTTGAAAAATATTCTTAAAAGGGGAAGTTTCTGTCTTTTAGTCATCAAAATTTCACAATATAACTTAAAATCATTCTTTTCAATTCAATTTCAGAATTGAACAAATATAATAAAAATAGACTCTCTTCTACCACAACATAATTGCAACATAAATTAATAGATTCAACTCAAAAACTTGCATGTTTCACAAGGCACACTCAGACCAAGGCAAATACTTGGGGAGTTAGGACTTTCCTGAAAGGCATTGCAAAATGGCCCCAGTCTGAAGGAAGAAAAGATCATCTTTGTTCAATCTCTTGTCAAAGGATGTATTCCTTCTATCTACTCCTTCCCATTATCTTCACCCATTCCTTCTCGAAAATTACAAATATTTAAATATAAATTTCCTCCTCAGCCAGACGTATTTAAAAAAAAAACATTAAGTCAGCACTTTATAGATTTTCATCTTACATAGGTAATTTTCACAATTTCAGTTTTTCCATTCAGAGATTTTTTTCCCTTGAACAGCAAGTTTCCTTATTTTAGTGGTACCATCATTGACAGGTTTTACTGTATCGTACAGTATCACATAATATAACATAAAAAGAAGATAATATTTAACATTTTACAAGCTACAATTGTTAGCATTATGTGCAAGTATTGATCTTTAACTTTTAATCAGATTACTATATATATATTATCTTATTCTTTAGCAATAAAGATAATACTGTGTAAATAACTTTCAATTGTGTCTATTTTCTAATAAGTATTTTATTCCCTCGGACCTTTTATAGCATTTTTATAACATTATTTTGAAGATTGAAAATGCCTCCATACCTTCCATCACTTATCTTATTTGTGAAATTGGTAACCGAACACTTGCATGTTAGTTTTTATCCAATACATTATTCCCTCAATAAGGAATTAGTTTTATTAAAAATAAACACAGATTTATTGTCAAAACTATATAAATATTCTTTTACAAGATTTCAGAAAACAGAATTTCTCACTGTTTTCTGTAATGACTTTTGTATAAAATAATCGAAGTTGCAGAATCTTATTAATTTGTATTAATAATGGTAAAAATGTTTTCATTTAAGCATAAAATGAGGTAAGCAAATTCACAATTGCACCATTAACCTCTAACAATTCCCACAATATACAAGCAATGCACTTTGAAAGGCAACAATGCCAGGAACCTCAAAAATGCATGTCAATCAGATACACCAGACACTTTATAGATAGGACGGGAGGGGAATTTTATCAAAATGGTACAGTAATCAAACAAGTAGAGGCTTTGGATAAAATTTAACAACTTGATTGACAAAGAATAAAATAAATTATTCATTAGCTCAATAGCATTTAAGGAAAAAGAAAAGTATATTTTTGGTATGAACTTGAACCCTGTCTCCCTAACTCTACACTCCTGGGAGTAGGAAACTTTCATTGAACATTGATTTAATGTAACAAAACTGGTAATCAAATGGAAATTCATCTTTACTATACTGCTCTAACAATCACATCCACACAACCCTTCATTTAATATGTAACATATGACATTCTAATAATATAAAAACATTTGACAAATAATCTCGTAGTTTCCAAAATGCATGGACATTTCTCATATAAAACATCTAGAAACCAAAACATCACAATGCAATTTTAATCTTCAAAGTGACATGACAATCTGCAAATGAGCGACATCTCAACATGAAGAAATTCAAAAACATTTAACACTAGCTAAAGAAGATACTTTTAATCATTTATGTGTGCCCGGAAGTATCATTGGAAGTACTTAGAACCCTTACCATGGGAGAAAGTACACTTTTATAAAGATAGTTTAAAATAAAAATTGAATTATAAAGCAATATATCAATTAGATTTGAAACAAAATGTTAGGTTTTAAAAGTGAAGTAATTAATATCATTTTATTATTGTTTAATGCCAAGGAATGCTTGAATATTGAACATTCAGTTGTCTTTTCCATACATATTCTTGTTCAAAAACAGAAATACAAAATCTATCGCTTCTTGATGACAAAGAAGAATTTGATGCACAATAAACTACAATAAATGCTTTTTAAGGAAGATAACCATTGAACTGAAGTGAACTTCTAAATTTCAATTAAAAAGAAAAGAGATGCAAATGCCTAAAAATTCCCAAAAATATGAACTCAAGTTTTATTCATAAAGAGTATACATTATTTAAGGAATGTGTTAATAATTTTATAATCTCAGTCTTCTAGGTTTGGAGTTACCCCTTCCCACAACAAATAAAAAATACCATTTCAATTAAAATCAGAGGACCTCATACTACAAAGAGAGCAGGATGGTTATCAAAAAGTAGCTGCTGTATATACACATCTTTTAATACATTTCCAGTCTTTAATCTTTTTCTTCTAAGAATATAAACCTTCAGACTATTTCCAGATCAAAACCATTAAAAAGTAAGAAATATCATAATTTGATGAACAATTTTGATTATTTCCATGATCTTGGCAGAACGTTACACTTTTGAAATTTGCTCAAATTCTCACCGCTACGCAAGGGTCAAAATTGCCAATAATAAAAATCGGTCGCAAAGACGGGTTTTGAAGCATGTGCAGTTGAGGCTTGTCCATACTCATAATAGAAAAAAATTCTCAATGTATGAAAAATTGTTAATTAAGCCTTGTCCTGAAATATAGAATACATTGAAGTCCAACAAGTATGATCCTTACAGGAATTCTATGGCATAAATTGCTAGAAGTTTCATTCCAGTTATATTTCATATCAGCATACCATATGTATTTAATATACCAGTTTTCTTGCCAAGCAAAATGTGCATTGGCAAATGGAGGGAATATACACCCATCTTCTTGATTTTACTGATCCATGTTTTCATAAAAGAAAAACTTTTGAAAGCAATAGTACCTTAAAGGTTTCATGACAAACGGTGGCAGTAATGTCAGCCAATCATGCAAATGTATAAAGGAACTACTAATGTCACCAAAACTAAAAGACAGTACTGAGTGACATGTCTGAGCGACTTGACTCCTCCCTCCTCTTTTCCTACAACTGAAGAAACTTTTCCAGCCCCATGAAGATATGTAATTCATTTTAACCCATTAACGCCCAAATTAATTTTGTGCGCATACCACTCGGCCATAGTCATTGCATCCATTGACATTGCTGGAGCTCTCTGGTTGCACATTTCTGCAACTTCTGTTATCCAATGTTACTTTGCTAAATTATATTGTAAGAGTGCTCCAAAGAATCAGCAGCTGGTTACATGAGCATTTTTTTCTATAAAATGGAGTAAAACTCTTGAAACTTAGCTGCAGACCAACCACAATTTGCTTTACACCAGTTCTAGATGAAGATCCAAATGAATGCAAGACATTAATACACCCTGGCCAGGAGTGAACAATGCTTTCATGATCTCTGCTAAATCTTCTGGTAATCAGAAATGAAAAATATTGCTTATGTTTTGTTTAGAATGTCCATGACTTTGAAAAATGTAATTCATAAATTATTGCAAAAAGCAAAATTGAATTGACCAGCTATGAGTGTTCTGAAATGAGGACACTGGACATAAATGGGTGTGTTGAACAGAGATTAAACTATCTTTGCAGCAGTTATTTATACTTTAACTTTTATGTTTAAATTAAGTACCTGATTTGATTAACTATTATGTGGACTAACTAGACAAACTATATATTTCCATGAGGCAAAAATGTCTGCCATCACCAGCTTTCTCTGGTGTACTAATTCCAATTCTTGCTGGCCACCACCATCTATCAATCCACCTTTAGCAACCTTGGAGGCAACAACCAAGAACTTTTGTTATTTACTTGCCAGATACTTGATGGACCAGTAAATGCTTATTCACTTCTTTCCCTTTGGGAACTTTGGGAACCAGTGGTCATGAAACAGCTGCAAGGACCTCCACCGAGCAAGTATTGTCTACACAAAATGCCCAAAACCAGTCAACCAACATCCAAAACACTGGGCTATATTTAAAATATCTTTGTAATAAAATACTGATATTCTATAGCTAACACTATAATATACAAATTAATGGACGAGATTCCTTAATACAGTTCACATTCAGTGGAATAGAGGAAAATACAAGTTTTACGGCCTGATTGAGCAACAGTATAGTACAGTGCATATAGCTCATGTGTTCAGATATGCACAACACAGAACCAAGTTACTCAAGTGAAGCTGCTTGTCTTGCTAAAGAAGATGGAATAGAACATAAACGAGCTTCAAAATTGATATGCACTTAGGCTCAAAGCAGTTCCTTCATTTCCTTAAGACTTGAAGAGTACATGTGAGTAGATAAATAATATTTTTCAATGAACTTCCACTTGTATTGATATATGAACTGCAAGAAGATTGTTACCCAGTAGCTGCCACATTATGAACACAGATTTGACTTATCTAACCAGCTGGTGTACCACAACCAACTTTAATATGGATTACAAAATATATGTCTAATATTGCTCACTACATAATGAAGCTGAAGGGTAAAGCAGCTAGTTAGATATTGCTTCAAAAATAAATAAAACTCACATAATACAAATACGAACATAGCTCTCGAATAATAGGGATAAGCTATAGTGTCTTCACTGCTGTTTACATGAATCTTTGCCTTCTCTCTTACTTTTACCTTTTTTGGTCTTTTTCTCTAAGGATGCAGATCTTCTCTGGCCTTGAATGGGCATGTATGGAGGAACAGGACCATCATCCGGTTCAAAATCTAAAACAAATTATTTTAAATAACGCATGAACACAAAATTCTTAGATCATTACAAAAACACAATAGATAGAATAAGGTGTGGGAAAATCATTACTTTAAAAAAAAAGAACATTTTATGGCAGTAGAGTAAGCTGTAGGGCAGAAATATACCGTTTCTATTATACGGAAGCCAACACTTCTGGTTAACAGATATACTCTCAATTCAATTAAGGTTAGTAAAGGAGTGGGGGCAGGTATTCAGAAGCTCAAGAAAATGTGCACATACAATACCAACACTAAAGAGAATGAGAACCACACCAAAGTTCATCTAACAATTTTTGGAAAAAAAAATAGTAGGGATTATTTGAGTATATACAGTAATTTTTAGGGATTATTTGAGTATATACCGTAATTTTTCAGAAATCAGAAAACAAATCCATAATCTGAATAAAGATAAGCTATTTGTCTACTGATTGCAGAGTATAAGTTGGTCTTCAATGAGTGGATTGTGTTTGAATTAACAAATTTTGCAGGCAAACAATTCCAAAGATTAACACTTCCGTTGAACAAGACATATTTGAAAAGGGTTCTTCCTGAAAGGCCAGTTGACTAGTTATAAGTAGGTGTACCCACAGTATAATATTGTTACGACAGAGTAGAGGACGGAACCCTTCAGAACTCGAGATTATTCTCCCCAGTGAAGAAAATGTTTCCTAACTCTTGCTTGATATGAGCAATTGCTCAAAAAGGCTTCAATACATTTTAATAATTTTCCTCTAATGTCCAAATGTTCCAATCTATGTATAAGTATCTTGCAAGGAATCCTCTTGCTTTTTCAACATCAAGGTAAGCGATTTCAATTAGGGTACCTGAATTGTCAGAGCAAGCCCAGACACTGAGGTATTTAAGAAGATTGGTAGTCAGTGATCCACCCAGTATAAATCCATGTTGACTGGTTGGAGAAACCTTATTTGCTACACGAGGAAATAATTTTTGGTGCAACGATTCATTCCATTAATTTAGCTATCAAAGATGTGAAGGAAGTCAGTTGGTTGGTTATCAAGCTACTTTAAGATGTCCAGGTGTAGCCTGTATTCTATTTCTCTTCTTGTAGATAGATACAAAAATTGCTTGATACCATTTGAGGCAGTGTTAGACGAGTTCTGTAATTGGAAGAGGATGGAAGACAAGCATTGCTTGATCTAAAGAAGGTAAACAAAATGAGGTCATATGAATGACAACCTGTGTCAGCTCTACACGTATTTACAGCATAAAAGTATAGAGCAGGCGAAATTGCCTAAGACCTTGGGCCACGGTCACTAAATTATTCCTAATACGTGCACTATTACTACTCACAATTACACTTGATACTCTTGTACACCTCGAAACTTCATTAATCTAACGCTGCCTACTTCACATAGCACTTTAATCCTGGAGGGATTAAAGAAACAGCACAGAATAAACCACGTGCACCTCCAATCTTGAGCTCATGCTCCACTGAACCCAGAACAGCTGATCACAAGAGAAGATAGTGAGAATGCAAAATGGTGGACATAAATTCACTGCCCAGAGTCATTATTTGATCAACTTTCCGTTACCTATCATCATCACTGCCTCTCAATTGTCGGAGATAGTACATCCATTGATAGTCAGCCGCTAGGAAAAACACAGTTTGGGCACTTTGCCAATTCAAAACCATTCTAATGTACTGGGAAAGCAAATTGTATTTCACAATGCATCAAGAAACACAATTCAATATAAAGCAATTACCTGGAGGAGGCAGAGAAATTGCTGGACTTGATATATTGCTTAACGGGGTATCCGAGACCTGAGAAGCTGCTCGGCGAGGATATGTGGGATCGATCGCCATTGCAATATTAGGTACGGCATGAGAAGGTCCTGGTTCAAGAGAAGTGGATGACAAAACTTCAATGGCTTCGGGGTCAACATACCTGCAAAATATATGTATATAATTTTACTACACATAAATACAATGCATAATATAACAATATTTATTATGGATCTCTGAAAGTACTATGTAATTTATATCTAATTTTGGACCAGTGAAGGGTTGTATGTAGAGATCCTACCAATTACAATTTGCTATTATCATTATAAATTACATTTCAAAATCACAACACATACTTTGGTTTAGTTCGCATTGCTCGAGGATTGGACAAATCCAGTTCTGTGGGTCGTACAGCTGATGAGCTGGGCCCAATCACTGGTTGATGTAGGGGTTCATGTTCAACCCATTTGTCTCCAGAGTATGGAGAAGGCAGTGCAGGAGGTGAGGCAGCAAACCCCTCATCATCAGAAAGAATCTCTGAATGCTGGAGCTGTTGTTGCTGTTGCTTCCGCAGCAAAGCCTTTTGCTTTGCTCTTTCCCTAGCACGTTTTGCCTTTGCTCGCTCCTAAAACAATTTGCACTTGGCCAAAGATCCTCAAATGGAATTGCAATATTTTAGGCATAGAATTCAATTTTTTTGCCACACACATTTAAACATAACATTGATCATTAAAATATTTCAGAAGTATTTGACATACAATTTATGAAATGCCATGCAACAACTGAAAGTTTAGAATGGATGTCCATCAATTCACCAGTACAATAACTAGTGTTTAAACTCCATTTAATTACTATAATTTATAGAAAACAGCTCTTTCAAGAAAATAGTTACTGAACAATGAAATGCAAGTTTTCAAACAACTGTTATAATGATGTTCATTATCTCAGAATTCTCTGAATTGCTCTCAATAAAATAACTATTAATTTTAGTGCCACTGTAAATATTTCAATACAAACAGCATTTACATCATATAATACAATCTCTATAGTTACACTAAAGCAATCTAAGTATTGATTAATAGCTCAGGAAATGCACAAAAATAACTACAAAACCCAAATACAAGGCGATTCAAAATTATCTTTGAACCTGCAAGGTGAGGCCTCTTGTCATCCACTAGAACATTTCTCTGGAGAGAAATTTTAAAACTGCAGCCACTTTGGAATATTAAATTGGATAAATGAAGAGTGCTTTATGAAACACTGCCTTACGATAGAATGCATTCTCCACTTTAACATGCTGAAATCATCAGTAAGAATGCGGATACAATTTTACAACAATGAAATATCTCTCATATGACTTCTCATTTCATAACACAGCCAAAGACCTTTTTGAATCATCTTTATGAATCTCAAAACATGGACTTAAAAAAAAAAACTTTGTATTTATAAAGAATGTCATGTTGCTCACTTTCTCTTGCAGCAACCTCGCAAGCTCCTTATCTTGAGCCTCTATTGCTATCAGTCTATCTTGATCTAACATAGACAGCTCAGCAGTTCCCTCTTGTTCTTGAAGCATTCGAGCATATTCCTGAAGCACATATTGAAAATATACTAAACACTAAAAATATTGAAAATGTACTAAAGAAAACAAAAATAAAAAACCTACAATTTACACAACTCTCCCCCCCCCCCCATAAGAAACACTTAGCTCCAAAACCGTTATCTTATTTTGTTGCAGAAGCCCTTACAAAGTACTAACATTTAATTTTTATTGAATCTAAATCAGTAATTGATCAATCAAAGTTACAATAATTGAACAATTTTCTCCGGGGACCTTCTAGCCCATACACAGATCATTCAAACTTTCAGACGCTAAAATGCTAAGGAGACAATTGTAGTGATCTCATAAAATGCTTCCCCATTTAAAGGATGGTATTGAGTGTAAGAGCCTCAAAAGTTCAATTAACAAAAAAAAGCACCAAACAAACAAATACCACAAAAAAATATAGCAGTGCTGACAAGTCTGTATTGGTTGAAGATTCAATGTTCCATTCGACGAGTGTCACTCTAGTCATGAGATACCAACTCAACATGAACCAGAAGGGCACTTGCCAAACAAAACTCGATTTTGTCACCATTACCCTCCTCTTGATGTACGATGCAGGAGCTATAAATCAGACATCAGAATCACACAATACAAAACAGAAAATAAATAGTTATCAGTCATTCTGTTTTAGGAAGTTGGGAGCCATTTTGCAGGAAGTGAACGATCTTCAATCTTTTTCCATATAGTTCTGAAATTTAATTAACCAACCTTAAATTAATAAAAACGTAAATACTTTTAGAACCATTTTAAGAGTCAGATGCCAATGTACTTTGAAGTTTTGTTTTATCCCAGCAGAGAACTTTGCAACAAAATCAGAAAAAGCTTCATCTCTAAGGTCTGCATTGGCCTGCATTTCCCCTGTCATTGCCAGAAAACAGTCATAATGATCCATTTCACTACATTGACATGAAGTTACTCAACTTCCAGTTTTTAAGACAATGTTGCAAAACCTGAAATTATAAATTCATTGGAACCTTGCAAAAATAAGGCCTCATGCTTGCATATGGCTCATGCATAGCATGTATGTAGTTAGTCTCTTTTTGTTGCTATCTCCATAGTTGATATCTTCAGTTGCTATCCCCATAGAATTCCTTTCAGTGTACTCGCAGCTTAATAGATACCACTATTTTTATTTAATGAATTAAATATAAACTTAATTTAACAGTTGGCATGATAACCTAAATTTTAATTAGATGTAAAATATATAAATTAAACACATTGTGTCTACTCAAAGGAATAAGGACCGGATGATTATTATTTATCATTTTGTTTTCATCTTTTGCTTATTAGTATAGAGAATTTGAAGTATGCTTATTTTATCCTATTTTGATTCGAATTTGATTATTCTGATGGTTCTTAAAAATCATATTATGGCCTACATGTTATCCCAAAATAATTTGCTTTCTCTTTGCCTCAAGATAGACGTTTCACATGCCAGAATTTTGGGTGCGATTTTGGTCCTCAATTCCACTGGATAAAAATCTCTCCAGATTTCAACACATAAAAGGCACTGTTGCCTCGATCTGAAAGAGACCACAACACTGATGAAATGATGTCAGCTGTGGCCCAGTACATTTACCATGAGCTCTTCAGTGAGGCTCAAATAACATATAATAAAATTATGAAATAGATGATAAAAATGTTGATATCCTTAGAGTATAGAAAGTGCCAAAAATAAAAAAAAGAAAGCAATGATAAGAATTCATTGAGTTCACGACAAAAGCATCCAATATTTTATTATTTTCTGATGCATAGATACCTGTTATAATAAGCCAAGTAAAATCTTATCTACAATTACAAGTTTCTTTTTGCAGTGTAGGAAACACATCCCTACATATAAGAATCAATAACATCTACACAGATTGATTTTCTCAACAACACAAAACAAAAAAAACAAAAAAACATCATATCAATCCCCACTTGGTATTTATAGTATCTCATTGATAAAAGAGAACAAAGACATTGTATAGTTTTAGTTCTAGCACTTTCTAGCACTGATGTTTCTATGACTGAGAAAAGACAGAATCATAATGTAGTTTGCTGCTTAAAAGAACGTGGCATCTAGGAAGGAATTCATGTTGCCTTTGTCAATTTTTTTAGTAGCTTTGATTTGCAGGTCACTCAAGGTGCCTCTGATACCAAAGCTTGTTTAACAGAAGAACGAAAGGGCAATGTAAACAGTGGGCAATCGTATTAGTTTGGTCCTGTGGAATGATAATAGATTGATAACTGCAGTTTGTGATTGTGCGAAAACCAAAACATTGGCGTAATTGTGTAAAAACCAAAACATTGGCATCAGAGTTCCGAGGCCCAATCAGAATGCAGTTTACAACATAGCAGTGGAGTTCCGGCTGATGACCACTAAATCGCAACACACAGGGATATGATCACTTCCTAAAAGTGGTGGTGGCGGCCACTGAAAAGATAATGCTTCCGTCATAAATGAGTGGAAATTATATTTCGCCAAATCTCACTGTTGTAGATTCAATAGCAATGTATACTACAGATTCTGGGCGCACACAGGAATCCAATGAAAAATCACCAGCCCAAACATCAGAATCACAAGAAATAAAAAAGCTCTTAGGTGAATCAAAGATCATATGATTCGTGGCGACAGGAAGCAAAGTGCAAGATGTAAGAACTGAGGAAATTGCACAAAATACATGTGCCTAAAATGTTATATTGCACTGCTTCCTAAGTGACAGAAAATAAATCATATTAAACAGTTCATGTTTTAAGACCTCAACGTACCTATTAATGTTTAGATGTTTAAGCCATTCAAAAACATTACATAAATAAGACTACAGTACTGTAATTTAGTAGAGTTCCTTCCCCACTCTAGAGATTCTACCATGCCACCACAACTGTATCACAACGAGCAAGAATGTTGGCCAATTATTTCTAAAGCTCCAAAAAGGGAAGAGGTTTGGTAAAGACTGCTCCACATATTCGGTATTCGAAGAGAAGTGAGCAACCACTCAACAAATCCTAAGTAGCATGGATGAATTACTTGCAATTTTCCAAGCGAAGCACATTCTAGGCTACCTTACCCACCACATTTAGGTATTTTGGATACATCAAAGGATGCCAACATTCGTCAAAGCTGCTGGAGATTGGCCAAGCAGCAGCTCGCTGCTTAGGGAATGCCAAATGTGTAGAGCTGCCTTAATGCGAGTCATGAGGAGACCTCAAAAATGACCTGCACTACCAAAATTTATTTTCCTTCCTATACAAAAATTCGTAACTCACTGCATCCTTTTCTTCTTGTATCCTTCGAGCTTCTTCTTCACTTATAACACTTGAAGGTTCATCAACAGGAAGAGCATATACCTCATCTGCATTTTGAAGAACATTAGTAACTGTTCTCCTATCATTCAAATTATATGACCTGAAAAGGCAAAAAATGTGAGCAATACCATACTCCTTTTCTTACACAGAAAGCATAAAATACCACAGGAAATATCACCTCATTTGCGGGCTAAGAGAACCTGCTCGGACAAAAGGTTGGCTATATTCACAAGGCAGGGGGAGACCCACACTATTCATGTCAGGATTATACTGCGGCAATTGCTCCTGGGAAGTGTGTGTAGCTGATTGTTCAGATGCTTGCCTAGTTATCTTCTCTAATTTCATCCTTTCACGATCCTAAAAACAGAAGAAATAATTAGTCAAGGCAAACGGGTAATAAAAGAGCAAAAAGTCCCTTCACTCCACCCATGCTAGGGACAATTTTTTTAATGAAAAACCTACCATTTAAAAATAGAACACTGAAAATATGAAGACCTTACAATTGTATATATTCATTGGAATTTAAACAGTACTAGAATGCAGAAAGGAGAAGCAAAAACAAAATTTTCATTTCTATTCCTAAAAAAGTTCCATCCCTACAGGATCATTTTGCAGGCAGGTTTGCTAATGATTGAAAAATGAAAGCTACTAATTTGAATGGTAGATTCATTGTAATATTAAAAAATCCTTGAACTTACCTTCCTAAATAATTGCATTTAAATTTGGGTTTCTTTTCCTACTAATACAGACTACTATTTATATTTGAAATTGATCATCTAATTTGAGAGTTTATTTAACTGATAGAAATTTTACTGGCAAGATTTCCAACAATATTTTAGGGTTTTCGATAATAAATAATTAAACACACGAATCAGTCAAATCACCTTACTGGTCATAAAACTTCAAGAATAAAGTAATCCAAATTAAGTGACACATGAACATTGTCAATATTTTCTTTCAAATCCTTTTTTAGTCCCCCACCCCACCTTTTTTTCTTGAATTCCACATTTATGAAAAATGTACAACAAATACAAATACACATGTACAAGTACTCGCAAACTATATTAGCATGCTGAACAAAGGAATATTTTTATTTAAAAAACCTCATTCACAGCCAACAATGCAATATTTGAATGAGATTGGAAAAGGAAAATAATAATACAAATAAGGAATGAATCTTCCAATATTTTGTATTAGTTTAAACAGGCACAGATCAACGAGGAGGGAAATACCCCCCCTCCTAAAATTTTTCAGTAACTATTAATGAAACTTATCAGGGACTTTCAAGCAAAAATATTTTTGGATTATTATTAAAACAAAAAATCATATCACAGCATGAGCTGAGGGTAGCCTGTAGACGTTTTATAAAATTTGTAATATGACATATTCGATGAAAACATTTTGAATTTCCCTCCCAAAATTAGTCTCTGGATCCACCGCTGGTTTAAATAAAAATCTGTTAAATCTTTGCTGTTATTTCCCCTCTTGTGTTTGGTCTCGCTTTTTATTATGTTCAAAAGTATATGCCTGGAAAGAGTACAGTGTCAATTTCTAAATTCTAGCATCATATATTGCCTCCCTGATCAATTAATGTCTCAATCACAAATATACTCTAATATGAAATCTCTAATATTCCATCTACAAAAGAATTTTACAACAGAAATGTTTTCTTCAAAATTTCCAAAGGTAAAATTTTAAAGCCTGATTCACTAAATGAATATGTTTTTGAGTCAAGGTTTGAAAAAAAGAAGAAGAAAAAAGGCAATACGTGTTCTTCTCTAAACCAACTTATAAATGTGATTAAATGCAAAATAATCCCATTACAAGAATGTGAAATATCATAAATATAATAATACTTTTTTGCATTTTTATACATTTTTTTTAATCCCAATTGTGATTGTTTTAACATGAATGGTTTTTAACTCATGAAATTTATAAGTGCGTGGAAAGTGGGCATGTGCCTTCAGAGCAAGTTGTTTTATTAAATCAGATTATTTTAGTAATTTAATTCTTTCTCCATAATTTTTGCAATTATGTACTTAACTTGATTGTTTTTACAAATCCTCAATTTCAAATCCATCTTAATGAAGAAAAAATTTAGGGAGGAAAGGGAACATTTTATCAATCACGTCCAACTACATTAACCGCATCCCAAGGAAAATTATTCGCTCGCATTCCACTATTAACATACGACAATCAGCTCAATACTTAAGTATGTACAAAACTCATAAAAAATAATCAAAATGCTAATTTGTATGAATACACTGAACAAACAAAAGGCACTCTCTAACATTCATCTGTACAATGAAGGGCTCTATAGAACAAGGAGCAATCCCACAGAGACATAATTATAAGATAATGAGGGTTTTACCTGACCTTCCTTCATGTAACTCAATACATTTTAAACTTTTTAAACACAGTACACTTACGTCCATACTGAACTTAAATAACATATTGCACTAAAAAAATAACATTTGAAGGTTTGTATGCTAACTCAATGTCACAAAAAATGTTGAATAGCCCCTTGTCCTACTGAGCCCTTCAACTGTACTCATTTTTAGGACACTGAACATGGACTACTAAGCATAGAATTTTCTATAGAACAAAGAAGATGCACAAATCTCATTATCAAAAATTGTCACTTTCTTATCCAATTATAATGAACTTTTAAAACATCAGTTTTACTGAGAAAAAGTATATTAGTTAACAATAAACATCGTTTATACGTAAACATAGAACTAATTCTAAGTATTGCAAGCATTGCCATTATCTGAACATGCTACAGACAGAGTTGGAATAAGCAATTGTAGAGACTACATCTACTCATTACAAAAGACTACAATTGAGGGGTTTCTTACAAGTTTAAAATTCCATATTTTGAGATATTTCAGAGTTATTTCCTGTAACTGGCGCTATCGCCTGGTACATATCCTTTTGACAAGTGCCAAACACAATGAAAGATATTAGACAGGGAAAAATCGTAAATGTATCATTATGCATGTCTATGGTAAGAAGTATTTTGTGCTTCCTGAAAAATCTCTAATTTGGACTACTTTGGTCCTTCAAAAAAACCTTTAATTACATATAATCAAGAAGTAAAACCATGAAAGCTGGAGGGGTTTGTAATGAATGTTAAAATAATAGAAAATATATCATGCAAATAGTTTTGCAGAATTAAAATTAGTAACATTTAATGTACAATGATAAAATAAACATTTCTTCCTACAATGTACACACATCCAGAACATGATAGAACCTCACTTTACCTCCAAGTTACTTTCCTCCTTTGAAGGCTAGACAATATTAGAATATGCCTTAAACTCTTGCACAGACAGAAAATTCTAGTATAAAATTACAGTGAATCAAATGCACCTTTTATACTAATGAAACAGTCATTCTTTTTCTCACCTGTAGACGTTTAGCTATTTCTTTGTCTCTTTCTTCAATCATTAGCTGCTTTTCTCGCTCTTCTATGTCCAGGCGATGGGCAAGTTGGGATGCTACATGAGCATCAATTTCTTCTCTGAAGACAATTACAAAAATGGCATAAGGTGAATATTTAAAATTTAATATAAAACAAACAAAAAAATCAAGCTGGACTAAAAACAATTCTGTAGTTTTAATAAAAAAAACAGAAGTTTAAGTGAATAGTTTTATGTACAACAAAATTGCACAAATTCATATGTTTACGGGTGGACAGCAATTCAAAATTGGTCATAAAAATAATGGAAATGCTTCTAAAAAGTGGAAATAAACGTACTGTTCGCGTAAAATACGAGAATACATTTCTTGTAGAGCTGCAGCTTCCTCCTCTTCTTTCTGCTGCTCATGTAAAGCTTGGGGGAAATCTTCTCTAACTTGCGCATTTCGTGATTTGTTTCCAGTTAAATGCTGCTGAACTGTAAGGAGTTTGTGTTTATTTACACGTTTATTTAGTGGTTCGATATTTTTCCGTATAAAAAAAATAAGAAATTGTAAACATACTTTCTTCGCTCTGCAAACGGTACGCCAGTGCTCCATCCTCTTTCACAAGCCATTCACGGCACACTACACAAGGGTGAAAGGCATATTATAACACTTTGTACTAAACAAGTTTTAGTATGAAGAAGTAGGATAACAATCCGTAAAATTTAAAATTACAGTAAACCGCAGTAACATCTACTTTTCAACAAGAACTGACAGTTTGAGTAGCACATAATTAATTAAAAAACATAATAACCATTGACAATTATCAAAACAAACGTCATAAATTAAGAACGAAACAAAGCATGAACTACGTCAGTTTTTACCCTCTCTTTGTGCTCATAAAGAATTAGCGGATTCAACACACGATTTCCACAATACTCCCACGTCTCTGGTGGTAACATACCTTCGGTCACACGGCCAGGTTTCGGCAACGTGTCTGTTGTCCTGGCCCCTTCAGCCATTTCTCTCATCCCACGAATTTCACACTGCATCCTCTATAATCAAAGTTCATCCGTAACATATTTTTTATCTCAACATTCTAATTACATAACACGAGACACGCCCACGCTTTTATATCAATCATGGGTTTTTGCACCAAAGTCATTCGGTGTCATAAAACGACACAAAGGACAGACATGTCACTGGTGGCGCAGTGATAGATTTGCCCAGAAGACGTCATGCATTAACACATATATTTCCCATCTACTTACTTCAACTGGTCCAAATTTTGTAAAACCATTTAATCACCCGCAACATTTCACCAGACCTTCAATCAGGTTTTCATTACAAAACATGTAGCAGCAGCGGGCCGTTCACCACAGCCCACAAAGCATGCAGTGCAGTCCGAGGCACACAAAACACAACCAAACACAATCCACCGCAAGCCACCTGCTGGTTGATTCCCCGGCCCGGCCCTGCCCTGCTCTACTCTACCTCTCCCCGATTCCAGTCCATGCCATTGGCGGCTTTCGAGGCCGCAGCCGAGCGCAGCCGAAGGCAAGCGCGCTGTTTTTGAGCCATGCTACTGATTGCAGCGGTTGCTGCACACCGCCACAATTGGAAGTTAATTTTCACAGAGTCGTTTTCTAAAGCCTCGCAAAATAGTTCGTCCCGTCATTTCGAAACCTATCCTATTGTCACGGAAAACGTTCTGCAAAATGTCCGGCATTTTTGAATCATGCCGTTATTTCGATAATTGGGCCCCCATAACTAGGGGCGACCATAAGGTAGGGGAGACCGGATCTAGTAGTTGGCACCGGTTAATACGTTTAACTTTTTCATATGCATAAGTATGTACAGTTATATACGTAGTATAAAGAAAGTTATGTAATGCCGCGCAAAAAAAATCGAATTTTGGACAGAAAAAAATCATTGCCGGGCCCTGATAACCCGAGAGTGGATAAATCCAGTTGCTAAATTAAGAAAAAATCCTCTAACACGTGGTGTGGCCAGAATCCCTGTTTTGTAGGTCCTTGATACCGTTTGGCTAATTGACTGCAAAACGTCCATCCGTTTGTCCGTCAGTCTGAGAACACCAATAGCGCCTAAACCATACCATAATTTTGAATTTTGTTTGGCGTCTCCCTGCTACAATTACAAAATTGAAGATACAGATTTTTCCTTCAAACAAAATTTGTTTGCCATACTCTGTCCTTTCATTAAGGTCCTGTACATTTTTTTAAGTCGTTTTTGCGCAATTTTGCGTGCAAAACAACACAAACAAATTTTTCTCAAAAACAGCTCAAAATTATTTCTTTAAACGTTTGGTAGGGATAAAGCTAAATATACTCTATGAGATGACATAAACAAAATTGACACAAATGTATTTTTTTTAAGATCTCTCGCCGTTAATATTCACATTGCAGCAATTTGTAAAGACTATTGTATTTGTGAGTTAAAGTGCTTCAAATTAGTTTTAATGAAGTTTTTTGAATACTCAAAAATTTTCTGTGAAAAAGAGCTTCAAATTTAGAATTTGCACGCATTTTCTTAGAAAGAATCTAATTTTTTTAAATACAATTTTCACTTACGACGAGGTTTTACAGTTATTTAATATTCTTATTTTATATTTACGTTATACTACTAGGAAAACCGAAAAATATGAAAATTTGAAAGAAAAAAAGCACTTTATGTGGCGATAGAGTATGTCTGGCAAGAGTACATCACCAGTCCGAGTAGCTAGCCGGGGCCAAAGGAAATAGAAAACTAGTACGGGTAAGTCTGTGTCACTTGTACCACCACTAGTTACTTCTTCTCATACTACTTCCGTAGTATTGAAAAAGTATTGCAAAACTGCAGAAAAACGCGTTGTGTGGCGCCCTGATACCGAAAAAGGGATCAATCTTTTTCCTATATAAAGTAAATAACTTTATTCTAACAGGTAGTGTAGACAGAATCTGTCCACCCGTCCGTCTCTCCATAGGTTTAAGAGGTCCATTTTTGAGGCCAAAATTATTATATGTAAACTGACGAATTTTTAAGTGCAAATGTATCACAGACATTACAACAATAAAATCACATATAATTAGATAGAAAAAAATTGACTATTTTTTTAAAAAATATTATTATTATTATTATTATTATTATTATTATTATTATTATTATTATTATTATTATTGTTATTCTTTTCTCTTTCCATGACTTCAACTCTTCCTTTGTCCGCATAGCTATTATTTCAGAAGGAATATTTAATTTGTTTTTGCTACTAAAACCATTATCGAAATTTAGTGCTAGATCACTGGATATGAAGGCTTCATTGGCCTATTGAAAATGTCTTTCAGATTATTTTGCCCAAAGAGTTTTCTTGTCCGATGCCGTGGATCATATTGGTGAATTATATTTCTAGCTTTAGATGGTTGGTCTTACTTGGTCATTCCGCATGTGTTCGCGTATATGCGTTCATCTACAGAACGACCCACACTACATTAGCCCGCAGCTACACGGGATTTCATACACCCCAGAGTCATCACGTGGATCCACGCAGTCTTTTACCTGAACCAGGCTCCTCCCGATCTTGTTCTGGGCGTAGAACACCGGGCGGATGTCGGCTCTACGAAGCAGCCTGGCGATCCTGCCCGAGACACCTTGGATGTAGTGGAGTCGAGTAGTTTATCGGGAATGTCTCGTTCGTGGCGTTGGGTGTTGGTGCGTCATCACGTGAGTCGAGGCCCGTTGTATTGCGGACCTGCTGTTGGCCAGGAAAGTCTCTTTCTCCCTTTTGAGGCTGTTGCTGATGAGGGCGGTCCGATGAAGGGTGGAGAGTACTCCCCATTTCGTGGCAGGGTGATGGTGTGAGAGTACAAATAGAGGTTTGTATGTGTAGGTTTTCGGTACACGGAGTGGCCGGGGGTACCGTCGCGACGGGGCGTCTAGAGACCAAGACGTCGAGAAATGGGAGCTGGCCGTGTAGTTTTTTTTCGTGAAATGGATGCGAGGATGGATGTTGTTTAGGTGTGCAAGGAAGGCTTGCGGAGACTCGGGGCCGTGGGGCCAAATGACAAAAGTGCCGTCGACGTAGCGGATTAGGTTTCAGGGGCGTTTTCGAGGGCCTATCAAAGGCTCCCACGAAGAGATTCTCAACCACCGGGGAGAGTGGCGAGCCCATGGCAATGTCTTCCATCTGAACGTAGATTTCTTATTTCTACTGGATGGAGGTGGACAGGCAGACCTCCGGGAGTTTCGCCCATTCCGTCGGCAGCTGATGTTTCCCGAGGGTGTCCTCCATGATCTTGATTGCCTCACTCACAGGGACCATCGTGAAAAGAAGTGACATTAAAGCTTTCAGGGATATCTCCAGGACTGGGTTTAATGGAGCGAATAAATTCAATGAAATGTTCGTAATTGACGGCGGAAGGCAGGTTGTTGGTGAGGGGTTTCCGTTTGTTGGCAAGGAAACAGGCGAAGTGCTGAGAAGGCGAGTTGATGGCGCTCACTATAGGGGGGACAGGCCCGTCTGGTTTAGGAAGACTATAGATACGGGATGTGCAGTTGTTGCTGGCGAGCTTGATGCGTCTTCTCTCTCCCTCATTAATGGATGACACTTCACCAATTATGGCCATAACTTTTTGCCTCATTTTCACAATTAAAAACAGTTCCAATAAAAAAAAGGGGACATGTCATCTTTTCTTGTTAAATCCACCCAGACAGTTTCTCTTACTTTGAAACTGGAACATATGGTAACCCTCATCTGACGAGAACTCTTGTGGTCACAACAAAGCAGAGCAACATTTGGGCAGCATAGCAATCCATGAAATGACTTGACTTCTCAGAGTGGTGTAATCCGTAAATGCCCCAGATCTTTCTAATTGCACTCTCTAAAGCAATGCGGGACCTTGGAGTAAGTTAATAATGGGTTTCTGACCCAACTGGGAATTGAAAAACAGTGCCCCTAGATACAGCTTGGTCCCTGTTATCCAGAGACACAAGTGTGGAGAAATAAGCAAGTAGTGAGGGGCAATTTTCATTTTTTAAAAAGGAAGTTAATAGGTATGGGAAGACAATAGGACTGCAATAAATTGAAACAAGAATTTAGTTTTCTTTTTGAAGCAGTAATGTACCTAATGTATGTAATGTAACTGAATATGTTACAAAAAGAAACACACTGGAAATATAAAATACACGAAACTCAAATATAATAAATAATATATTTAACTTTTATTTATAGTCATTTACAATTAACAAAGACAATTTTTAAAAAATGTAATTTTCTTGCAAACAGCATCATTATGATGGAATCATTCCTTGTGCAAGCTTCCGTTGTGCACCTCTCCGGCGGTTGTGATTACCATGTTGTGCCTTATGTGTATTCTTCTGATTACGATTAATAACGACGTTCTTATCTTGTCCTTGGCCTTTTGGTTTTCCTGTAAATTTAATAACACATAGGTCAGTGTAATTCAGAACATTTAGCCAAATTCAAGAATATATTGGGGTTGTGGGATCATGCAGAATTTTATCTCAATAGTTAAATTCCATAAAGACGAAAACATTCCACCCAAGCAGCTACAAATTGGTATCTGGAAACATGTCTGAGTTTGTGGTTGGAATATAGAGAGTTAAAATGGAGGAGGAGATCGCTGGCTGATTAAATTTTTGCTACTGAAGGTTTCAATATTAAATGTTGCAAATAATAATGCTGTATTACTTTTGTTTTTCAATTATTAATGAGTGAATGGATTACCATTTCTTATAGCCAATGACATATTTTATATCAAGTATTACACAAATTTATTGAAATAAGTAAAATAAATTATTGTCAGGTGTTAAAAAAATTTTACAAGTGTCTGCACCCAAAAAAGGTTTGGGAAACCACAGAGTTAAACCATCATGAAGATCGATTGTCACACATTATTTGGATTACACCCAAAAACCTGAACCCGAAATTAACTCCAGAAAAAATTAAAAATCAAGAAAAGAAAAGAAAAAAAGTTGTATTCTTACCAACAACATCCCTTCTGGGAGGTCCACGATGCCCTCTTGCTAATCTGCGTTGTTCTTGAAGAGCACGAACTCTTTCAGGATTCATTACAAAATGATCTGCTGAAGGTCCTTCATCTGAATCCTCTTCATCTTCAGAGGCAGAAGCAGCAGCAGCAGCACGGGAATGGTTTTCTTGGGCAGTGTTGTTGTTCCTATTTGAAATATCTTCTTTACAAATGCATTCTCAGAGAGCATACATGCAACATTCAAAAACAGTAAATACATTCAAACAGAACAAATACCCAACAATCAATGTTACATTTACAGCACCATTTTTCACTCAAAACAACACATTTTATAGTTTTCCACATGTGTAAAGCGTTCCCAACCTTTTTCATACCTCAAACCAATACTTATATTCTTATTTTCAGTGCCCCCATCCCTCTAGAGTGAAATTCCTCGCTTTATAATTTACCTTACTCAAGAGGTTTATATGATAGTCTGACATAAAATAATTAAAAATGTATAATATTATGAAAATGTATAATATGTAAATTAATGGCAAAGCCTCTCAATATTTGCAACAAATCTCTCTGAAGAAACTCAGCAACTGTTATTTTCACCCAAGGCTATAAGCAGAACCCAGAGAGGGGGAGGCAAATGTTCCTCCTTTGCAAATAGAAATTCAATCTTAAAGAATAACAAGTCTTAATGAATAAGCTTAATTCTCAGGATGAGTTACACCTATACACATAGTGACATAGTTAAAATAACTATTTTGGAAACAACCTAATCAAATTCGTACATTCCAACTATATTTTTGAATAATGAAAGAATTTGGTAAAATCAAAAACAATGTAAGAAATGACATTGTTCATCAACCATATTCACAAGGTTTCTGAAAATAACGTAAGATTGGAATTTAGAAAGTAATAAAGAAAAGTTTCATCTTTTAGGTTACCTTTCAGGATCATCATCATCGCCCAGAGTGACATCCAATCGATCATCATATGTATCATCATATTCATCTTCATATAAGCTAAATGGAGAATAAAATTCTCTCATATCCTCCCGGTGAGTTTTATCATTTAACAGCATCATTACATCACGATACATACCTTTCCTGAAAGGGGAAATTAAAAAATGTGCATATTTTTCAATTGGTAGTGTAAATATTCACTTCAATTACTCACTTAACTATTCAATTCATTAAATGATTCAATTTCATAAAAATAAAATAAATTCAATTATTTCTAGATCATAAAGTATGGAATGTACCTTCATATTAAATTTCATAATTATTATTTGCATTCAAATTTTAAAATATATATACTCCAATAATAACATTCTTTGAAGTAGTGTGTGATAAATTAATATGAGATCAATAAAAAGTAAGTATAACTTGTAACCATGCAAATAAATAAATTACGAAAGGTATAACAGTACCTCTTTCCCTTATGAGCCTCAGCAAATTTGGGTTCTTCTTCTTCATCAGATACAATACTTATCTCAACTGTAGGTACAGATGGCTAAACAGACATGAACAAATATAAGAAGCAAGGCAAATACAAGCAGATGTCTAAGTAGAAAATGAAAATTGCAGACCAGGAAGGCAATAACAAGTGTGCGCATACATAGACTTTAGGGGAGGCCTCAAACGGTATAACACTTTTCTGTATGCTTTTAAAGGGTTTTCTGTGGCAGTTGTAAGGGTAATTTACCTCAAAAGTGATTTGTTTGCCACACTTTTTGCCTGAGAGTATCTACTTATACTTAGCTTACTCTCAAAGTTTTAGGAAGCAAATTTGTCATATTGAAGGTCACACATTGTAGTTGGGTGGCTTTCAATTTGATGGCAATATTGTTATTGAAATTTACTACATGTAAAAACAAGAAAAATCACCTTTTTTGTTATCTGGGATCCATTAAAATAATTTTTCTGGCAACACATAAACACTTATTACAATACTTTCTTTACACTACATAGTAGTTTACAAGAAAGTAAAATTACAATATACATAAAAAATAAATCTTCAGTTCATAAACTACCTTTCCAACTGCCTAAATTTTAAAAGATGTGTTGATATTGCGAATAACAAGCAAAAGCAGGATCACAAGCATGTTAGTTAAGAAAAATAAATTATTCTTATTACATTCTAATTACTAGAAGTGAATCTTAACTATACCTTGTGAATAATACTTACCAATATTTGTTTTGATAAAAAAAAACTAATCTTTATCAAACAACATACATTACAAATAGTGTGTAATATAATGTTATTAACATCTATAACTTTTGAAAACATGTTTAAAACAATCACATTCAATACAGTGCAACTCCAATATATTGGACACCTAAAGTTTCTTGGAAAATCTGCCCAATTTATAAAGGAGCTCCCAGTAACGTTTAGTTACAGGACAGTTATAGAAAAAGGTCTCCAAACTTCTGGTTTGTGTGCAACTGTTATATGTACTACTTTAAATTAATTGAGGAACATCACATAATTTTCACTTATATTAGAAAATTGACTAAGAAGTCCATGAGCAATAGTTTAAAAAGGAACCGATTTGAATCACACTGTAGTAAATATTTATACCGGACATTAACTGGGAAAATTACAGCATCCACTGCAATTTCGTACAGTAAAAAATTTGAAAGAATTGTCTGCCAGATACTATTTGCACCATGGAAGAGAAGAGAACCCAAAACATTGTTTTATTTACAGATTGTTAAATTTTTAATAATAAAAATTTTAAATGTGATGTAGTGATCTTTCATTGAATGTGAATGACTAAAAAGAAAAAATGGGACAGATATTATTATGTAGAAAAGAAAGATATCTTTTCAGGGGTGATTTTTGTTCAGTGATCCAAGACTCTCAAATGAAATATGCATCTCGTAAAATTATTTCACAATATATATTGAGAAGTTTGATATCTTTAGTCAAAAATTTAAATTTATTACTTCAGTTATCTAACAACTGTTAGGGATTCTTGAGTTGGTCTTATGAACTTCTCAATGATAGAACGTCCAATTTACTATGCATACTTGTAACAGAATTTTTTGAAATGGTGCAAGGATAATGATCTAAATTTAAATACTGAGAAGTGTAAGTCAACTATATTTTTCAGGTGTGGAAGATAAATAGATTAAGTCTATTGTTATTGATAGAGTGTTTTTGATTAGGGACCTTGGGGTTATCCTTGACTCCACAATGTCTTTTAAAGACCACTTGAAGTTTATGGTCAATAAGGCCAATCAGATGTTGGTATTTGTTAAGTGTACTTGCTATGAACTGCACTCCTTGCTGACATTGCACCTTTGTATTTGTTATAAGATTGATTCTAATGTATTCAACTATTTGGTCACCGTGTTTTGCTGAAGCTATTTTTAGTATCAAAACCATACTGCATAAGTACTTTATAATTGCAGCTAAACACATGGGAGTGAACTTTATAGATTCCTTTTAATTTCTAATTTTTCTTCGTGTATGATATACTATGCTGTGATAATGAGTTGCTTACATATAAACTGCATTATTTTTTTGTTGTATACAATTGGACAAATTGTCCATTAACTAAAAAATAAGTAATAGAATTTACCTCCTTCTCTGGAGGAATTCTTGGCAAATCTTGATCCATTTCACTTAAATGAGGAGGAAGTTTTGACTCAAGAATAGCATTTATTACATCCTCAGTCACATAGTTGTAGTGTTCAAGACATTGCTAAAACAAACATTTTTTTTTAATTGGTGTTTTAGAGCACAAATATCACCCAGGAACATCAATGAGATTTACAATAATAAACTTACTTCAATAAATCCATCACCTAAATGAGGTAGAATGTCTTTCACTTGAGAAATAAGCGAGTCCAATTTAATACCTGTCACTTTCTTCACAGGTAACTGACTTGCTGAAGCATTTTCCTAATAGGAAGAAAAATCTTAATTTAAAATTCATGCCAAACAAAAAATACATTGCTTTTTTTCCCTTTTTAACAGAAACACCTCTGACATTATCATTATTAGCTACATTCTATTTCTTCTGGAAAGTATGACAAACCAAAATGTATTGGTTTCAAAAAATTCCTTCTCTTAAAAAAACACAGTTTTCATTTGTTTGTTGAGAGATGGGTTGAGTTTGATAAACCCTAGCTGCTAGGAGGGATCTGTGAAGAGCTGCAGGGCTGTTTAACAGAGTACACTTGCACATGCCATGATGTAGGTAATGTATTTACAAATGAATTATCAATCTATGTATTATTAATACACTAGAAATATTTTTAAAAAATTTCCAACCTGTATATTAGAACTAGATGTTGAAGGCTGACCATTTTCAGTTTGATGGCTTTGATTTCCAAAGCCTCCAAATCTTGAGGGCAATTGCAGAGAGGGCGGAGGTGGGAAATTAACTTCATCATTACTCTCCACGGAGTCAATAACTGCTTCCAAAATATAGCTTCTTTTATCAGCATCCCTGTTCTAATATTAAGGGAGACATCATTGTATGTTTCGTTATTATTAGATTATACAAGAGGAAATGTTGAAGTTTGTGGCCCGCAGATCCATTAAAAGGGTTCAATGCAATTCTTCCCTACTCAATGAAGGTTTAATATATATTATCCCCACACCAGGGAAGCAAATAGAGAAAACATTCTGGCCAAATGTATAGAGAAAAGTAACGTTTAAATTTTATTACAAGCACTGTAGACACCATTAGAAATTATATAATGAATCAATAATGATTTTTTTTTCATATATTTTTTCCTTAATATAAATTATATTATCTTGCAGGTAGAAGAATAAATAAAATTTGATTTCATGCTTCTCCTTGGTTATTAATTTTATTGTTATTTTTTTAAGTAATCCAAAATAAGTAATAAATTTGAAGGATGAATGTTGAGCAAAAATAATGTGTTGAATGCATGAAATTTACTAGTCAAATAAGGAATTACAAATACAGTAACTGACACAGATGGCTGAAATGACTAAAGGTGGCTAGCAGTAAGATATCAGTCTGAGAGGTTATGGGTTTGAGTCCCGTTAGGTTTGTTAGCCACGTGTTGGGCATGGTAGACTTTCCTACACTTTTTTTTTCTCAACTAGGGCAAAATATACTAATAAAATTGGTGCAGGTCTCATTTCCAGTAAACTCCCTATTTCTGAAAATTGCAATACTACAGTTTCGATGATACTGTATGGCTTGTAAGTGTAAGACATATAGTGAAACTTCATTTACACTTTCTCTCATATACTTTCTTCATGTTTATATGTTGTTGTTTTCTTGTAAGTCTCAGATATATTCCTATAATTCTCATGCGAAGTTATTTCAGTTATGCATTTTATTTTTGTATGTTTTTCACACTTACACATTCAAAATAAAAGTCCCTTTTAGCTTGTTGGCTCCCGTGGAGCAACCTGTACCTCGGCCTCTGAAGCAACTTCCCGCTAATGAAACTTGTAATTAGAAGTTTGACTCGCCTCGCTGAGGGGCCAAGACTGCGGAAGCCTGCAGGATGGTAGAGCAAAGTCAGCTCCCAGACCACCTCCAGGAGCGGAACTTCAAAAAATTTCAGCCGGGTGCATACAAGAGATTTCCAAGAATCTCAGGAGGCAATGGCTAGCTCCAAGGGAATGATCAAAGGTGCCCCTCTGAGAGAATAATGAAGTAGTAATGACCAACAAGTGGAAAAGTTCTGCGCACTGACTGCCACACTCTCTGAAGGCTCTTTTGCTCGCCATAATAACATACAAGATCCTTTCAGTAGCGGCATGACACAAGCAGCTAATGAAACTGATTGCTTTTGCACATGGCGCGGTGAGTGTCACCAGGCTTTGAGGCTGAGGCAGATATGTGCTTCCTGTCACTCAATTAGAATGCTTCCACCCATGGAATCTCAAGTAACATAAAGCTTGAAACTGAAGCAACCAGTTGCGCATCACCACTTGTGGAAAAGCAAACTTCAAGTCATGCAAGGTCACCAGTAATGTCCCCATTACGTATCTGTTCTAACAAAAAAGTGTGGTAGGGAAAGGCAACCCCTATCGATATCAGATAAAATCAAAATTTTAAAAGTTGTCAGGAAGAGTGACAATAAAAAAGTAGATATTGCTTAGCAACTGGTAAAATGATAGTGCTAAAATATTGAGTTTTTATTTTGCTCATGGTAATTAATTTCAGTTATGCATTGTTCTCACTTATATATTTTTTCCCCCTTCAGTCCTCTGAAAAATGTAGAAGTGAAGTTTTACAGTACTTCTCAATAGTTACACAAATAAATTCCAACAATAAGTCCAAAACCACAGATTCTGCAAAATCCAGAAGCACATATCTTGGTGGGAAGGACATATGCTGAAGTTATGATTCTTATCATGTCCCAGTACAGTGCATTCTGTGAAATATTTGGTTAAACATAGAAACCAGACTTTATGCACACGGTAATTGCATTGCTAAGTGAAGTTGCAATATAAAAGTGGAAAAAATCAAAACTCAGACATAAATATTAATGTATAACAAGTTAGGCAGAAACAGGTTGAAGGTCTTACTTTATCTTACTATTTGCCACATCTAAACAATATTTTATTTTTCCTTTTGCCAGGATTCAGGCTGTTGTTTCTACACTACCAGTTGTTTCATTGCCATTTTCCTTTTAATTTCTGTAATATTTCCCTGTGTTTACAAGGTTTTCCCCATTTTTCCAGAAATTGGTCACCCTGTAACACTTGTTTCATAATACCAGATGCACAAAGGGAGAAAGTCACCTTAAATCTAACAAGGTATAACTTTGAAAAGAAAAGACCTATTCAAATTTTTCTCAGTTCAAGAATTCATGAGGCACAACAAGGGACATACTGTTTTAATTGCCTTCTAAAAGATAGTTGTGGTTTTCTGCTCTCAAAAATCCTACAATTTCAAGTGGATTTGTACTATAGAACATTACAGTAATGGTCTAATCTGTCACTAAGCAGAATACCAACAACAGCTGCTTAATCTGTAATGATACACAAATAATTTCTTACATTTACATTTCCTTTTTTTATTGTATTCAATAAAAATTGTTTCCAACATCAACAAACAACCCATTATATAAGGATACATGTCTGGTGTAAGCTGGGCTAACAAGTCCAAGTCTTGAGCAACACTGAACTTCCTATGATAGTCACTCACAAATAATTTTTCAGCAAGGCATTCTGTTAGAATTGTTACATAGTCATCTACACTATTCATCACTTCACTTGAATCACTACAAAACACATAACAGATGAAAGACATATAACACATCATGACTACAATATAAGTCCTTAAAGAAGTAAAGGCATTTTACAAACCCGCTTTCAATAGCAGAATTGATGTTGCAAAACAAAGTATTTCGAAATATTTTCAATAGCTCAACTCTGGTCAAATCCAGTTTATTTTTGAGAGAAATAAATAATACTGGTTCTTCATCCACATTAATTAGCATTTCTAATTTGTTATATAATTCTGGTATTACATTTTCATAAAACCAAACCAATCTGGAAAAGAAAAAAAAAAAGAAAAGATAACACAAGCATTATTAACGTATTGAACAAATATTTTCATTTAGTTTACACTAAAAAAGTACACAAAATTCGAACAGAAAGGAAGTTTGTTTGTTACACAAAAGGAAAGTGAAGGATCATTTCAACACTTAAATCAAGACTAAAAAGCTAATCAATATGAGGGTTTCAGGTCAAGAAATGATTTACAATTTTTGTTTTATGTATCAATAGTGCATAATTTTACAAGTTGTACAATGTTACCAGATTTACTGAAATCACTGTAATGAAATTTATATAATTTAACTTTTTATGCATAGTCTATTATTCAAATATGACAAGTGTCACATTTTTTTTATTTTTGCATGTTGGGTTTAGTTTAAATCTGCAAAGTCACTTCAGCTCTCATGACTAGGAAATGAATTTACATATAAAAACACATTTGTTCAGGTACTAGATATCTGCATTTAATATCTCTTTTAGAATTTGCAAGGCTTTCTGAATGTATTTAAGACCATTTTTATTTTGGTATAATGACATATTATTCATATTTTACATATCACCACATTTCTTATACATTTTGATGCATTTCAATACTGTCAAGAATCAAAATGGAGACCGATTTTGTTAAAATTTTCACACTTCATTTTTAATGGTATCAGGAGCTTTTAAAGAGCAGTTTGAATTAAATCGAACATTGTTGTTGGTGATTTATGCATTTTTGATGACTCACGTGCCCCTGACCAGAAGCTACTCAACCCGCCACACCTAAAAAATTATGCACATTCGTCGCTGCATAGTCTGCCACTGCAATTGTGAAATAATGGAATATTTTTCTCCGACAACTAAATCAAATTTCTTCACATTAGTGACATAGAAAAGCCAAATCCAAACTTGAGAATGTTTTAACAATAGGATACTTGACAACCCTGGCCAAACCAGTGCACTGAACAAACCCATAGTCTCAAGTAAGTCTCATTAGAAGATTGGCAGAGCATAGCTTAGAACATGATTAACTATCACATGACCAGAAGTGTGTATTGAAGTGTAATACACTGCAATAGCAATGTATTACCACGTCCACTAGTATTTCATAAAAAATTCAGGATTGTCTTATATTTGCAGATTTGCGGTTTTGTTGGCTGTTTGTCCTCTAGTATGGAAAGAACTGTTCTATTTATGGAAGGCTTCTGGTCTTTCTTTTCCATGAGTAAAATCACTTCAAGGAAATATTCAATATTACATGTACTATTTTGACTGTGTTAACAAATATTTAGAGAGATTACTCGGACCATAAAACTTTTGTAGATCATATAATTATTTCTTCATCATCAAGGAAGTTTGTATTTTGAGAATAAAGTACTATTTTATCTTTTATACCCTCTGTAAAAATGTACATATGCATTCACTAGAAACTCTAAATTAAAATTACTATATATAATCTCACACATATGTCTAGAAATTTTTCTAAAGATTCCACTGGAAAGATAAGAAGCCTAGTAATTGGGGGTATATGCAATTATCTTTACATAACCTCCGCATGTCAAGAAACTCATAAAGCTAACCTTATAATAAGTTGCAAAGGTGATAAAAAACATAAATTTCTATAACACTTTAAGTATGTTTGTGGATGTTTTCTTTTTATTCACAATGGATTTGCTGGTTGATTCAAAAGAATTTGTGAACTGGACAGTAAAGAAAAAATCTCAAGAAGAAACTGAAATGAACCTACAAAATACAGTATTTACCCAAATATAAGTTGACCTTGAAAATATAACGACCCCCTAATTTTGAAGAGGCCTCCTGACACTTTTTTAAATTTTTAATTAATTCTTACTTCTTAGTCAAAATAAAATTACAAAATGACTCATTGACTAGAAAATTGTTGATGAGAATGTTAAGACTCATTGCTGAACTATTATGTTCTTGTTCCTTGATATCATCATAATCATGGTTTTGGTCATTACTCTCATCATCTTCACATGTATCAATGTTTCTTTCTTTTTGGTCCTCCTTCCATGATGTGACATCTTGAAAGTTTTGCGGACTAAACTTTGCATTGTTCATAGTGATTCATCAGGCGACATCTAAGAATATTTCCTTCTGTCACCAGATTTTCTATACGTCCCGCACTTGATGGCCTCTGTATCGTTCAAAGCGCAGATTCGGATTCGCTCAGCGTTGAACTGAGATTCTGCGCGGCCTCATCGAACCCGCATCGTTTAACTAACTCTCAACATTCATTTTCACATTGTGTTTAATTTGATACAGTGACATTCGGTTAAAGACAAACACCATTATAATGATTATCATGAACAAGAAAATGGACATATCACTTTCTCATTAACATGACAATTTTTTAGTCACGAGAAAGAGAAAAAAAAGAATAAGAAAAGTTCCAGAAAGCCTCTTCAAAGTGAGAGGGTTGTCTTCTTAGTCATAGTAGTTGATGGGGAGAATTTGAAAAGGAGAATATATTCATTCAATCTTGCTCAACTACAAACCTAGAGATTACCCACTGCTCAATTCCACCATACTATTGATCTCTTGTATCAAGAAACTTCAGAATCTCTAAAAACTTCAAGAAGGCTATTAAGATAAAAAGTATAATTTTCACACTACCTGCAATTAAAATATACAAAGAACATTTTCTCAAGTTTTGAAAATTTTTCGAGAATAAATACAAGAAATTTAATATTATAATGAACAAAAAATCAAAATATTGAGTAAAATACAAAAAGAAATTTTGTTTCTGTCAAAATTTTCTTGTAACAAAGTAGATTGAGTTTTCAGTTCAAAACTTATTTTAATTGCAGTCAAGGCCAATTTTCAATTATTAATTGCACGCAATTCAAAACCAACTCTTTCAACAATATTATTTTTATGAATTCAAATGATACTTACTTAACTTCAAAATTATTTTGATGAAATATCTTACTAGCAGGTAAAAACACATCAGTCAAAACAGAAAGTGTACAAGTAGTGTCAAGGATGTGCAAAATAACATCAGAAAGAACAGCAGATGTCAATTGTCCCTCACGGGCTGTAATTCTTTCAGGTTCAGAATCCAAAGGCATTTTTAAGCCAACACACTGGCTTACACTTTGGAAAACCTAAATCATTACAAAATGAAAGTCAATTTAAATTCATGATATCATAATATTAAATTGATGATTAATAAATAATTAAATTTAAACAACCTACAAAATATACAATCAAATACTGTCAATAATTTCGATATTTCATTGTTAATAAAAAGGTTTGAATTATCTCCAACTACTTCGTGTAAAAACTTGTGCATATAGCATTTTTATTAGGTCATCAGAGTATTGAAATACACACTCATTCTCACATATTTACATAGAATTTCAATAGCAAAATGACAATCTTTTCTAATATTGGAAAATAAATAAAACATTAAATTCTTATGATATATCTTAGCATTATCTTAATAAAATGTATTAAAAGAAGGCTTATTTTAAGATCGAAGAAAGTTTTTTGAACAAAATATCAAACTTGAGATAAAAATAATTGTTTACATAATTGTTATGAAGCAAAAGAATATTTAGTCTCAATTATTTATGCAATATCAGCTTCAACTATCTTAAATTACAAATTCTATTCCAAATATATAGAAAGATAAAGTATAATATGCAAACCTGGGTTATGCATGAAACCGATTTCTTCAAATCCTCAAGATATAATGGCTGAGTTTTGAATACAGTATTGAAAATATGAATCAGAACCGATTGATTATTTTGACCACATAGAAGGCACAAATCTAAGAACACTGGGATAGTAAAAATGTAATGTTCATATATTAGATTTCCATGATATTTGGATGTCATGTAGTTTGTCTGAAATTATAAAAAGATATATAATTTAATAAATCAGCATTGAAGATATTGGCTTCATAAACTGTCCATTTTCACCTATAAAATTGTAAATTTTGTATGAGGTTCACAGAAATGGTCACTAAATTTGCACAACTAGTTAACAGTGGAAAATTACATACCACGATAGCAGTACATAAACATTAACAGTACAGAGGTAATACAAATATTCCTGCTACCCACATAACATCAACAAATACAAAACTTAGGAATCTTGAAAATAATTAGCTTTAAGCACTCTTAAATTAATATTGAACTTCTAATAAAAAATCTTTGTAATAATTATATCTCAGCGGATCTGGTGGCCGAGATCGCTAAGGAAATAGTGCCGTAGCGATCTCGTACGAAAGATCGGGGTTCGAGTCCCGCCTCAGGCATGGTTGTAATTGTGTTCGTCCTTTCACCACCTATCATCCAGCATCCTCCATCTCTCATTATCACTTTCTGAATAACATTCAGAATTGGTACTCGAGGATTTATCCTCACCTCAAGGTGATAACCTCGACAGTCGACCATGACATGTAAAAAGTGAAGTGGAACGACTCAAGTGGTCCAATGTGGCCAATCAAGTTTGTTAATAATAATATAATAATAATAATAATAATAATAATAATAATAATAATAATAATAATTATTATTATTATTGATTATTATTATTATTATTATTATTATTAATATATAATCCTCATATAATTTCATGTACTTTAATATAATTTTACATTTCTCTAAAGAACTCTGTAAACACGCATAGTAAAAGCAAACATTCCTTGGGGGAATGAAGCAAAATCATACAATAACAATTAAAGAACAGAGGTTTTTATTTACTTCTCTAGAAAAGCACTCATGACCGCTAAAGGCCAGAGCCTTAGCTGCCCAGCTCAGAAACACATAGCAAAGCGTCAACTCTTTCTTTCTTTTTTTCTTTATTTATTTATGCAACATGTCTCCTTAAGCCTTGTTGGGCATTGTGCACTTCCCTAAAGAATAAACCTCCATTACCGAGTAATTACCATGTTTGTCAAGTCTTATCACATCACAGCCAGTCACTACCTTTTATCCCATCAACCAGGGGCTCAACACCAATAAATCTTGGGGTTCCTAGTCGGTCACACAAACAGAAACCCACCAATCTCCAATCCGCTTAACCTTTGTGACTTTGTGAAGCGCAGTAAACAAATTCAGCTAGCAACACCGGCTAGGTAGTACCCGTCTTTATAAACTATTAATGGGACAGACAAACTCATAGCTTGATTCTAACTAGCCCTAGAAACTTCACAACAACAGTGTGATTTCTGCTTAGTACATTGATATCTGCTACTGCTTGTTACCTTCATTCACTTCATCCACCGTAGCCACGACACATTGGATAATTTATCATATGACTAAATGAGAACCCAATTTAAAGTCTGGTCCATGCCACAAATGAGCTTCATACTACGTCTCTAAGTGGTCTGGGGTCTTCATTTCAGTATTAATGTTACACTTCACTTTAAATGTATTAAAGTTTAACACTTTATACATTAACTCTAAAGGGTTGAGCAATGAAATAATTTAGATGTTACATAATAGATTAGCTGTTACTTTGACAGTTACCATTTTTAAAGAATACATCCCAAATTTTTGAGGGGAGAATTATTAAAATTCAAAAAATTTTAAACAGACAACTCACAGGTAACATTTTATACCCACAGTAATACAACTAAAATTTACTAAACTCTTGATCACACTTGTCTTCACTTCCTTTTGATGAATGATTTGATGGTTGGTTGGTTGTTAGTGATTCCAGTATCATCAACTACCAAGATCATTAGTCCCTTAAGTGTAGTGCATGGTTTTTCCTTGGGAGGTGGCAGTATTCACCCACTGGATGGAGAGATCCATCGCGACCTACCATCAGCTAGCGGAGTATCCCCAACCAGGTATCTCCCACCAACAGGGCACCGCCCCAGCCAGAACAAGCTCTAAGTTCCCAAGCAGTCTCCCAGCATGTGTGGTAAAGTAGTGCATGTTAGTGAATAGGGTGAGGATAGGACAAGGAAAAGGAAAGATCATGAGCGATCAGTGATCCGTTTGTTGGGGTACTGTTCCAGCATTCACCGCGTATTGATCCGATAAACCACAGAAAACTACTGGTCAGAGCAGCTGGCGTAGAATTCTCCTCCAGATTGTGAGTGAATTCGACCTAGCTAACAACCTAGTACTGGAAATCTTGCCACTATCTACACTCGAACCTAGGACATCCCGATCACAGGCACTGCAGTGACATCAGTTAATGCACTGAGCCACCTCTCCCTGTTTGACTGACTTGAATAGTAGTGAATGTGCACATGTGTGGACCAACTCTACCACACCTCAAGTTACTCTGTGCAATCATTCATCAACTAGAAGGGTGTAAATACTGTGCTTCATAAAAAAATGTTTAAAACTGATTATATTGTTTAAGGTGTGCTGTACTTGTGATTAGTATAACACCTGAACTAGCAAAATTTTCCACTACAAGTAAAATAAGAAAAGAAAACTCCATAGGTAAGATAGATGAAATGGGAAATACAATTTACTCACTGAAATAAATTTTCAATTATTTAATACAACAAATCAATTAGAACATTAAAAAAATAGTCTACATAACGTTTGTATTTTCAACTCACCTTAGATTCTTCGTTAGTGGCCAACCTACAAATAACAAGGAAAACAAGTCTATAAGCCTCCTCATATGCCTGCCACATTTCTTCATCGTTTGGAAAATCATTCAATGCATGGTAAGGCACTGCTTCTTGCAAGAAAGAAACAACTGCAGCCATTGTACTATTATCATACAATGCTTGAGACCAAAACCTAAAAAACACAGAGATTTTTAAATAAAAGTTAGCTATCTGATTCAAAGGTTTGGGGTGGCTTTTATCATAGTGTCACTTATTTTATGTCTGAATATGAAATTTGTGATAAAATTTTTGTCTTTATCTTGTTCGAACAGAAAACACTTCTTCCTATAGTCACACACAGTTTTTAATATCAAATAAATAAATGAAAAATTAAATATTCACCTACACCAATAACCAACAATAAAAATTTAAGTTCTTTGGGGGAAAATGAAGGAAAGGAAAAAAAAAAGTACATGATCGATGAGGAGAAAATTTAAAATCTTAGAAATAAAAATTCATTGATCACCACCTTGTACATTTTGTGAACAAATATTGATTTCTAACAAAATTAATACACTTCCACCTTGCACTTCCAATTACTTTACATGTTTATTATTTCATATTTACTTTAACACTAATTAACCCTGCATTGACAACCTTTTTACCATAACGTGGTGCACAAAGGGATGGTTAAAAAATGTCCACCGTCAATATTACATTACAGGCTTTATTTACATTAACATTTTAATTTCTATCATTTTCATTTGCACTCTAATAACAATGTCATTTTCCTCCTCATTCATTTCAAAATTATCATCTATTTCATGATATATTGAATTCTCCCTCAATGCAGAGTTAATAAAAATAATTAATTACTATTTGACATCTAATTAAAACATCATCCTAATAGATTTATGCTCTATCAATTAAACACAAAACAAACAACAAAATTACAGCACAAAATAAGACATTCCCAATATCACATGCTAAATATTTTCAACAAATGGGCTGTACAATTAAGAAATTGTAATATATGGCATGTTGCAATAACTGTATTAGGATTTAAAAGAGAAACAACTCCCAATATTTCCTAAAAACTAACATCAGTTTGGTAACTAAAATAATAGATATATTGGCACATGTATGAAATATAAAAATATTATTACATTTTGTTTAATAGTACTAAGGTAAAGAAATATAATTCCAGGAAAGGCCCCAACTACCCGTCACACTTACTCTCATATGTCATCCAATGGAAAAAAATACTCACTGGTGTTGCTGTAATTGCAAAAGCCATTTCATATCCTGACAGAATATTCCAATTTGTTCCAGCCAGTTTTCTTTAGCACCCAAAACAAAGGAGCCATCCACTTTCTGTGGAGGAGGACAATATGGAAGGTAATAGCGGTCCACCACCCATTTCCTGTGCTGAATACAAAACAGTAAGAATCAGCTATTTATATATAACGTACATAAAATTGGAAACATGTAAAATTATAATTCTAAAGTTGCTTACCAAAGCTGGAAATTCTTTCTTCACGCCATCCTCGATTAAATGAAACTTTTTCTTCTCCATAGGTACGGCTACTTCCTAAAATTCAATAAAACTTTGTACAATAAACATCCACGACTTGGTGTAAAAAAATCAACAATCTGTATTAGGTTCCTTTTGATCGTAATAATACAATCGCATTACTGTCAACATTTATCCTACGATAACGAAACGTCACTTTCGAGCAACATACGAAGCATTTCCCTTACCTCATTTCCGATGCCGTTTACTTGATTATTCATATTGTACAAAAAATTAAATCTATTATATTATCACTGAAAATATGTCACGATTCTCACTGTGTAAGAATTTTCTTTCACATTGCGGTATCAATTTCCTAACCTCCAAACCATTCCACTCCCATAACTCTCTCCACGAGACATAAACGATTCGATTGATCGAGAATCGATTTCAAAGCGCATGCAATCGAGCGGCATCTATTACATCCCCACTCATCACGTGATGAAGTTAAATGGTATTTGTTCCCAACTGGGGGCGACAGAGGGTGCTGCCGTGAATAAATATTGATCTTATTTATTTATTTAGTCAAAAAAAGTAAAAACTGTATAACACGTATGGGTAGTATATCATTTGTGCACGTGTTCTTGAGTTCTAGAATCCCTTGCCATCATTTTAACTATAAATAGTTGAAAGATGAATAAAAATGACAGATAAACAAGTAAATAAAGATATAATTTAAAAAAGCGCCAGATTAGTAACATTTGAAATACTAGCCATTATCGTTCCCAAGTTATAAAACCCTTATCTGCAGCGGTAAACGAACTACAGATTTTATTTTCTGCTTTGCTAACAAAATAGTTACCCACCCTCACCTCTACTCCTACCACTACAAGTAAAAGGAGAGTTCAACAAAACGTGCGCATAGTGAAGCTATACTTAAGTCCAGAAGCAAAACAAGGGACCATCTCAGCATTTGCTCACGGTATCAGGGAAACTGGACAAAAACCTGGTCGAGATGAGGGTCATTGACCCGGAAGCTGAAGTACATTTTTTGTTACAAGCATATTAAGTATTTTTTAATACAAAATATAAATGTAAATTAATTCATTATATATAACACTTTTGTTAAAAGAAACATTATTTTCCTTTCTGATAAGTAGTATCGTCTCTAATTGTATAGAAACAGTTATGCAGCAGAAAAGATTTTACTTTTAACTTAAATTTGTGAACCGACTTAAATTATTTAATGTCATCTGGCAGTGCGTTGTAAAGTAACATACATGTATTGTATGTGGATTTCTGATAGTGAGCTGTTGATACTGACACTTAATGAACGTGATTTTTACGACGTATGTTGTAATTATAAATATCAGTATTGCATGAAAATATGTTTCCACCGTTAAGTAAGTCACTTTTGACAAATATTAAAGATTCGTAAATAGCAAGGCAGTGGTAAGATTCCAAGCTCAATGAAGAGAGACTTGCAATGTTAATTCTATCGTGAAGACTGGTCCTCATGCGCAAAGAAATGAAGACCCAAGTAATGGTGACGATAATGAAATAAAATTATTTTATATCGAGTTTCACTACTCTAGTATATTGCAATAATGAAAGGACTTACACACTCGTATTCACAACGACGCTCGCAGAATAACTCAAATGGTTCTGCCAAAAAGGTTATTGCACACACCGTGGGCAGTTGAGGAACAGAAAGAGGACATTTTTGCCAGAACGGTCAACCTTACACAAAGAAATCATCGAATGTACTTTTGAAATCAACAAACTTAACATTAAATGAAAATAAATTCCCATACATCATAAATATGCATTCAAGACTGTTAAGAATTGATTGAACTGAATTGACAAATTCATAAAATCAAATTGGAACTAGTTTCAGATGAAGACAGGAAATTGGAATCACACTCGGTCGCCGCGCCGTGCCTTGCGGCCGGACCCCTGCGATGAAAATTGGTGGCTTGTTGCTGTGTGAAAACAACGGGGCCCTTTATCGATGCATAGATGAGTCATCAGTTTTCTGTGAAAACTAGCTCACAATTACGCATTTTCAGAAACATTCAAACGCCATTGCACTCTTTAATATGACGTTAAGTTCATTTCGGGAATTTCTTTTTGTTTTTTTCAAAAATTACACTAATTTATATTTTAATATCTCTCATGCCTATTATAAGCACATTTCCAGGAATTTGTAAACTCTATCGCATTTGTGAGTTAAAGTGCTTCAAATGACTTTAAATAAAGTTTTCGTAAACTCAAAACTTTTTCTGGGAAAAAGAGCTTTAAATTTCCAATTTACAGTAGTGCTTAAATGCCATTTTCTTAAAAACGACTCCAAATTTTTCAATGAAAATTGCCATTTATGACGAGGCTTTACTCTTCTTTAATATTCCTAAAATACTATTTTCGTTCCACAATTAGGAAACCGAAAAATTGAGAATAATTTCTTTTAAACTGTACTTTGGGCGGCGATAGGTGGCAGCTGGTAAGAGTATTTGGCAAGTTAGAATAGCTAGCCCAGACCAAACGAAATAGAAAACTAATATGGGAAAGTCTGTGCCATTCTGAAGCACCACTAGTTGATTCATGTTCTGTTGAAGAAAAACTGTATATTAAAACGCCAAATCCATGACTTGAAAATTTTATTAAAAACGGGAAATAAAAACCAGCATTTAATCCAAAATTCAAAAATTATTTTTTGTAGTAAATACAAGAGGTTATGTGAGTGTGATTTTAATACAGTTCTCTTTTGTTTTCCCGGAAAATTGCTTGGAGATGAGGATACATGGTCAAAGACTATGTATCGTAACGAATAGTAATGCGAATATTTTATATTCGTTACGTTTAAATATTTGAACAAATATTTAAACAAATTCAATTTTAATGTGTTTATCTAAATTACATTTCCGTCATTCCATTGAGCCATTTTCTGAAGGGGTGCACCAGCCGCACTGGTGGGAACAGCTCTTGGGCAGGACACTACAGGGAATGTGAAATGATGTTTTACAAATCGCTATTGTGTGCATATTTCCCCCGGCAAGGTTTGGTGTAGACGATGCCGAATGAATCGATGAATTTCTAGTTGTAATTAATGCAAATTATAAAAATAACGTTTTCTCAAAACCCACTCCATTTTTTTTTCTTTTCAAAGTATAAAACAAGAGACGCTTAAAAGGATGGTGGAGATGTCATTTTCACTGATTTCTCTGAATTTTCGAAAATGTAAATATAGGATTGGGACAGGCTTGTTGTAGATGTACGGAGTATGGCGAGTTACCTCAGATTACCTAAATGTGTCTCGGTGCGAAAAGAAATTCCTGGTTGAAAATACTTTTGCAGTTTCATGCAGTATTATAGTAATACCATATTATGTAACAGCTACAAATAAAGCGAGAAAGAATGGTTATTGTAGAACCGTTAGTCATTGTCTTATGTTTACAGCAACTCTTTTACTTACGTGTCGTCAAAAAACAGTAAAAACTGCATGTGACATAGATGAGAGAAATATAATCTGCGCGAATTTTCTTGAGCCCCTAGTATCCCTACCCCAGTCTTTTTCTATAGTACAGTTCGATTCAATTATTATTTTTCGCAGTGAAACCCAGGCCGTCAGGCCTGCTCTTGCGTTTGATAAGGCCAATTTCGCTACGCTCCTTCTACTATCTAGCGAAGAAAAAAGGTATCACTTGGTCGAGGAAACAGGCAACTTAAATTTAGCTCAGACATTTGCAGTTGGGACAACCAGCCGGCTATTCTTCCCCTCCAAAGAAGGCGTACGAAGGATTTTTCACCCTTATTGCACGGCTTCGATCGGGCTTGAACTCGCAAACTTGAGTAAAACAGCCTGATACGCAAACAGTTATAAAACCAAAGCCGTCAAAAACTTTACTTCGATTCAATATACGTAGTTTATTATGAATAAAGATACCAAAAAGCGTTGTTGACTTTTGAAAACCAGTAATTATCGCTCCTGAGAAAGGGAAAACACATTGGCGTCTGCAGACAACCACCGATTTGTGTTAATATCTTCGTTAAAGGTCATTCTTTTCATAAGTCTACTGCGTCATCCATATAATAATATTAATTATGTAGGTATCGTCTCCTATATTATTTCAGTAGTATACACACCTTTCGAGGGTCTCACATGCTATTGATCTTTATAAATGAGGTCTCTAAAGAAAGAGAATTTCACTGAGACGTGAAATGCACTTTGACTTTAAACATATGAAGGATTTGTTTAAAAAAATGCATCTAAATATTCATGTCAAATGCAACCCGCAGCACTCAGTCAGCTATATCGTTAAATAACTCCTAAACGAAGCATTGTAGGACCTTAAAGGCTAAAAGATTGAGGCCAAAGGCCTAAAGTGCTGCTTGAATAAATTTTAAAAAAATATCCAAATTTAAAATTATAGAAAGAATAGCGTAAGTCACTCGACGACTCCCAATGATCGCAATTTAGACACACGATTTAAACATCGGCGGTATATGGAAGTCTGTACATTAATATCCAGCGGTAAACTAATATTGTAAATTTTACACCGTTTGATATTAAACTTGACTTACGCTGTCGGTTCGCTAAGATATTCAATAAATAAACATTGAACAACATGCCCATGTACCGAAGTGAAGTCTAAGCATACTGAATTGTTTCTAATGGTAACAAATGGTTTTTATTACTCAAAGGTGAAAATATTAGTTTTATTATTTTTGGGCTCGGAATTGCTTTTCTGGGGGTACGTTAGAACGCAGAAAATAATCCAATACTTTTCAGTATATAAATCATTTTTCACTTTTCGCACCCCAGCAAGCTGGCGCCCTGCCCCTCCACAACCCTCCCGGTTCCTCATAACAAACACAGGGAAGTTAAATAATATTGAAAAGAGTAGGGTCGCGCTTGCCCGATCCTGTATTTTCGAATGGAAAATTTTACTTTCCTATCTCAAGAGTAACCTTTTCTAATAATTTTGTGACTACCAAGGAAAGCGAAAATCTGTCAAGGAAGATTGAATAATTACTTCAAATGTTGTTTTTAAGGAAGTGTTAATTGTTCGAAGAACATATCTTAATAATACTGAATAAACCATAATTGAAATTTTCCCCCATCAATAACAACAATCAATGTTGCATTGTTTTTACTTTTGTTTGATATTCTATAAGAACTAAGTTTCATTTAACCATTTTTAAACAAATATACTCTCTTCATTAACAACTTCCCTTCTTAATGGAAAGGATAAAGAAATGGATAGGGAAAGGGTAGGTATTAACGCGCGAAAGTTCTCGCACGAGTACACTAATATGGTAATACTTGGTATAGGAACGTCGCGATTTATTTTGCTGAATATTTATTCGTGGTTTACCCTATTTTATTCCAACTAACATTTGCTTGATCATGATATTCCATTTTGCGCGCGTGCGCGCGCGCGCACACACACACACTTCAATAGCCATTGCTTTAGTGCACGTTAAACTTCGAAATACCCGCTTGATTTTCCGGACAAGGCGCCATTTTGTCACGTGACTACGGTGCGAAATTTGACGTCTTGGCGACTGTGCAATGCCCAATAACACTCAATACCTTTTGCATGATTATTAGTATCTCTTTTCGTATCAATAAATATATTTTCACTGTCAGATGACCGTGGTTGATAGCAAAGATCCATGGCCCACGTAAAAATGTTGCATGTCCATTTATGTAATGTCGACGATACAATGACCTTTTAAATAATACAATAAAACAATAGTACAGTGTTCTACTTGGATTTACATTACTATTAATTAGTAATACACAACTTTTAAAATGCTATTAGCATCGTAAAATTCTTATTTTGGGTAGTTCACGCTTTAGTTTCGTTTCCCTCTAATCTAATTGATCACTGAATACGCCGTAAAACATTAAACAGCATCTGCGCGTGCTCTGACGAGTGTGTGCTCGACTGTCATCCGCAAATGAAAGGCAGGTGTTTGCCTCTCCGCCACGTGACAAGTGAGGTCAGTGCAGCGACGCCCAAATTCCCAAACAGTCCTCGCGCGTCCTCGGTCGCACCGTCCGTGACGTCGTTGGTCACCGCTGTAAACGCAGAGCTGTTATTGGCCTGTTGTTGTGGTGGCGGGATAGGAACCGCGGGGGTCCGCAGCCGGCGCGAAGCCACTGCGCCAGTCGCCAGCTGTTGCCGGAGGGCTGCGTGTTGCATTGTCGTAGCCAGGGTTGCTGGTACTGCGCTAGTGCGCCGGTGTTTACAAAGTGTTTAGTGACTGGGGAGACTGCGAAGGTTATCGCGATAGATAGCATCGAAACCTCTTCAGGATGTCTAAAGGTTATCTGTTCCTGGCCCAGAATTGCTTTACGGGAAAACAAGGCGGGCGATCATATTCCTTGTATCGACACGTGAGCTTGGTAGTGAAGACTGAAAAAGATTTATGTAAAATCAAACCTTCGGTTGGAAAGTTATGCCTAGCGAACGGAGGAGTTAAAAGTTTCTCGACGAGTGGAGGCAGCCGAAATATGCGTTTCGTGCAATTCACAAAAAACAGCGGCCCTCGTCGTTTGGGCGTGCAGTTGTCACAAGAAGGAGATATAATTGATGTGAGTGGTGTGGACCATTCCGTACCCAATGATTTGGTTCAATTTTTGAGGGAGGGCAACGGTCTTCTGGAAAAAGCTAAGAGGTAAGTTCTTGTAAATTTGCATTTGGGGCTGAGATATTAGAATGTCAATAGTTCAAGGACTCTTCTACTTTTGGGTCGCGTGATGAAGTAACATGGGATTTTATTTTGTGTGTTTAAATTGGGGAAAAGTGTTAGTAAATTGTTTTATTTTCAGGATTGTTGCAGAGGGCAAATCGGTGGTCACTTATTCCAGTGTTAAATTGCTGCCGCCTGTGATATCGCCTGATAAAGTTGTGTGTGTTGGTTTAAATTATAAGGGTCATTGTGAAGAACAGAACCTTGCTTACCCAAAGGAACCGATGTTCTTTTCCAAATTCAGCAGCTGTATTGTCGGACCCCACGATAAAGTTCTTTATCCTTCCATCACAAACGTAAGAAATGGTGTCATATATTTATACAAGCAATTGGTTCAAACAATTGCAGATTTGTCCCGTAAAGAAATGTTACATAGATATTTATATAAGAAACATGCCAGGTATACTTTCATTGTTCTAATTTTTAATTTGAGAAATGAACTGTAATTGAAGATGCATCATGAGAACATTCACTAGTCATTATGAGCATTATCAAATTTGCAAGCTTAAAGGAGAGACTTCCTTTGTAAATTATGCTATAACAATAGAATGAGACCTTGAGCTCTTTCATGGTAAACTGAAAATTGTTTATTTTGTGAAGTGAGCTTCATGAATCAATGACCAGCATTAGATGTGCATAAGAATCTTGTTGCAACAAGTTACTACAACTATTAATTAATTATAAGATGCACTATTATGAATTCAAAAGAGAAAAATAATGATTAATATTACAAATTTAATACCTTAAATGCAGTTTAAGATATTAAAGATTTAAATATATTGTGAAGTTTTCATCAATTGCGCATTTGTCGGTAATTAAAAAATGGCCTCTAAATGGTTCAGAAATGTTAGGATGAAAAAGAAGTGGTCAGGAACTTTTTTGACCTTGATCAGATAAGTTCCGTCCTTGTTCTGTTTTTCCAAGGTGGGAGGGATCAGTTGGAGTGGGTCAAGGTGAACTACTCTCTCTCTGCCTCATCTAACTTCAAAATGTTTTGGTCATTGCCCTTTACCGTGACCTATAAGGGAAGTCTGTTTTGAAGGGAAGGTGAAAAGTAATTTCTCACAAATTTTGCAAGGTTGTAATCCTTCTATTTCCGATGGATTATTTTACGATTCAAGTTCTGTATTCTGCTGAAAGAGAGCTTTATTAGGTATCTTTTGAGCCTAAATATTAAAAGATTAAAAATTTTATTTTTGATTGGAATTCTAAAATTAAAATTTTATTCTGCCATTTCTTTGGATAGACATGAAAGAATGCAGCACAGTCTTTTCTTTCAGGAATTGGATTGGGAAGTCGAGCTCGCTGTGGTTATAGGTAAGGTTGGTAAAGATATTCGCCCTGATCGAGCTATGGATCATGTATTTGGGTATACTGTGGCTCAGGATTTGAGTGCTCGTGATTGGCAAAAGAAACGGAACAATGGCCAATTTCTCTTGGGCAAAGCAATGGATAATTTTTGTCCATTGGGTCCAGCTGTTGTCACCAAAGAAGTTCTGCCTGATCCCCATTCTCTTGGTATTCGTAGCAAAGTGAATGGTAAATTGAAACAAGATGGCAACACAGGAGAGCTGATCCACAGAATAGACCACATTGTCTCCTATCTCTCCCAGTAAGTAATGTGCCAGGCATGGAAATTGATAATTATCAGATAAGAATAATAAAGATTTAACCTTTTCTTTTAATACTCCTCTAAGAATTTTAAACAGAAATTAGAAACTTATGTTTGCTGCAGTTATTAGGGATACTGATTTTAATCATACTCAATCTTGGATTCATTGATGGAGGATTTAAACACTCCCATTGATAGCCTTTTTATTTAATTCGAAATAATAAATATTTTAATACCTTAGTCTAACATATAACATTCATGTTACTCACTGCTGACATCCCTTGAGATAAAAATCCTTTCCAGTCTTAAACATTCTTTAACATTGTGCCTAATTTAGTAATATTGTCTCTTCAGTGTAATTACGCTTTTACCTGGAGATGTGATTCTTACTGGGACACCTGCTGGAGTAGGAATGCATAGAAATCCACCTGAATACTTGAAGGTTTGTAAAACTGTAAACCATTTCTCAATGAAGAAATAACTTATTTGAAGAAACAAAAGATTATTTTTGTATTCTATTAATTATTTTTTCTAGTTTCTGTATTCTTATTTGAAGCTTCATGTAAAGATGATGTGTTAATGGATTACATTTTTAAGTTTGCACTTATCACAATGGTTTGCACAAATTCCATTAGTATGAATAACATTAATAGCTTTTTTCTTTCATGGTTTGTGAAGTTTTGGTTATATTGTGTCAAGAGATTTTAAGTCATAATAATAGTATTGCAATATTGTGGTTTTCAATTTTCCTTTAATTTAAAAGAACCAAAAGAATAATTTATATTATGAAGTGCTTAATCTGTTTGCTCTTTTGTTGTAGCCTGGAGATGTTCTTGAGAGTGAAATTGATGGAATTGGCAAGTTGAGAAATGAAATTGTTGCATCTGTTAGCTGAAGAACTGTGTGAGCTCTTAGCTTCACAGGATGATAGTGCTAACTTGAATTACAAGGACTGATAACATCATGATCTTGTTTCAAGGAGCACGGATTCAAATGCTTGTCAAAAATATTAGTCTTAAATGTGCAAATTGAGTGCTTGTCTGAGGCAGTGTTTGCTCTGTGGCTTTATGGCCCTAATGTTCTTATTGAGCAAATCTCAAAGCAAAAAAGTGCAATGATCTGTAAATCAATTTTTGTTGTTTTTATTTTTATTTTTATGAACTCTACTGCTTTTGGAATGAACCTATAAATGGTTCACTTTAACACATGACTTAGATGGCACTAAAACCTTTATTTTGTGTATATTTTGAAATATCTGGAGCTAGTAGCAAATGACACATGCAGCTGTAAAGTTTGCAGAAGAAAATTAGAGATTAATATTGCTGATAAGTCTATTTTAAAATGCAATACTTTGTGTTTTGGCACTGGCAAAAAGTACTTACATTGTAGGTGATTTTAAGAATTAGAATAGGATTCTGATAACTATATTTTGAAAGTAATATTTGCTAGGTACAACTCTTCAGAGTGCAGCATCTATCCCTTTTGAATTGGGTATAGAATGAATTATTTAACTATTGCTGCATGCTGTGAGCATATTAAAATTGGTTATTAAAATAACCATTAGCCATTTTACAAAAAAGTAAGTGTTGTAATAAAAGTGATGTCTGACATAAAATAATTTGAATGTTGTTATGAAAATTTGTTTTTCAATACATAGGACTGAATTCTTTTGCTGTTGAATTTTGTATTTATTTAAATTTTGTCTTTCTGAAAGACAAGAAACCATATTTTGAGGGAAACCTTCCATAATATTTAATTACAACAATTCTCTTTATAGTTTTAGAATTGTGAAGAGCTATTACTAAAAAAATCCATTTCCCATCATTCTTTGAAACTATTTACTATTTAATTTGGTCTTCTGTTCTAGTAAATGAAACAAATAGAAAATTGAGGAATGTTAACATTGAACTTCAATTTGGATAAACTATTACTATATTTCTAAGAGGTTTTCTTTTATTTGGATGTATTTTTTGTGTTCGGCAAGGAAAGCCCATTTGAGAATAAATGATGCAGATTCATTTTTGTTAAAACTAATAAATATGCTAAATTTGCCAGTTTTAAAAGAAACATAATTTTGATAACTTGTAATGTAATATTTCATAATTAAATGGTTAAATTGCATTTTGAGTTCCTATTGTATTTAAAATTCTGAAGATTTTCATTTAGAAAAGCAATCTAAAAACACTTCATAACCTAGAAAACCGTAAATGTACTTTGATTTTATGTTGGCAAGTGTACAATGTTTGTATTTTCCTTGTACATAATTATTTTAAATAATTATTAAGACTAGATTTACTTCTTTCAAGAGTTATTATATGTTCCTCTAATTTGATTTTCATATTTTTATTAATATAAAATGTGTATCAAATTGTGTTATTTTGACTAATTTGTAAGTTTTTGTCCCTTTAACTTCCCATTCCATGAAATATCTGTACTCACAAGGAGAAGAGTGGCTGAAGACTGAGCTAGGGTGGGATTAAAGCATAAGCATACGTCCCTGCTGAATATGTAAGGTGGAGGAAGTAATTATACTAAAAGAAATGTCAAGATATTTGGCAGAAATATCATTGGGGGGCACAAGACCCCAATTCACTACACCAAAACAGGTCTGTGAGCAACACTACCATCTAAATCATTCACAAAATTTAATTCTTTCACCAAACATATTCTCTGATAAATCCTGATTGTTCTGGCCTCTCAAATTTTAATTCTTACATATTCGTTTTTTGATGTACTTTACACAAAATCGCAACGACTATTGTCAACATTTTCTTAAAATTTTTTTCTCCTCTTGAAAGTACTCTTTTAAAAACGGCACTGGTGCGATTATTCACTGAAGGGCCGGAATGTTTGAAAATTTGTGAAGTGCAAATTTGTTTGGATATCCTCCAACTACTTCAGTGGATAAAGCCTTTTTCTAAATGAGATCTGTTCTTAAAAATCAAATCCTTCAAATACAGGTAGTTTTCAGGCAATTTCATGTGAAATAGTGGTATTTAAACACCAAATTTTCACTAATAAAGTAATATCACTTAGTACAATGTTATATATTCAATTTTTGTTCAAAACTTACTTTCAGACGAGGAAGTTTTCTTTCTTCCTTCCTTTTTCGAATCAGCCCTATCACAGTCAAAATTGAAGCCAGATTTTTATTTTCTTGCATACTTACGAAGATTAGAGAAAATAGCTGGAAAATGCTGGAGCAAAGAGATTTTTTTGACGAAACTAGTTTTGCTGGCACCAAAAAGTGGAAACTTCTTGTTCCTATGTGCAGTAAACAGGCGCAGATTTACGGAGGATAATGAGTGATACCCCGCCCCCCACCATTCCCTTTTAACTTTCAAGTAATTAGTGGTGCTAAAACAGCACGTATTTTCACGCGAAATTACGCAGAAAATACCCAAATTTTTGAAAAAAATTTCATGGCCTTATTTCTAAATTCCTGTAAGGAAAAGATTTCATGAGGGGAAAATTTCGATTTTCAATATTTTATTTGTAGAAAGACTCCTAAAAAAATTTGAATTTTTGCAATTTTCGAAAAAAAAGTTTTTCAATGAACATGAAACCTACACTATTAAACATCTTTCACAGTATGAAAAAAGTATGGAGCCATTTATTTGAAAAATGACCCATGTGCTTCATGGAAAAATACTCCCAAAGTTAAAATATTGGTGTGAAATTCCAGGGGCCGCGACATCAGCCAGAACAATTGGATAAAATCGGGTGAGCGGATAAGCCGCTAGCGTTCACAGACGTTTTGCCGTCATTCGATTGGTCAGTATCAAGGACCTATAAAACATGGATTCTGACTACACCATATATTGGAGGACTTTGTTTCTAAATTTATCCACTTCTTCGTTATCAGGGCCGTAAAGATTGGAAAATTACAAAACTGATGTATAATCCGAAAAAGTAAGTTTTGTAGTAGCATCGTTAGTTATGTTATCCATTCAATTCATAATTATGCAAGATCACTAAAATTATTTATGTAAACTTTATTACAAAAATTCGCGATATCGTTTGCATTTTTCGAGTGATGGGCGATTACTAGGATAGAAGGGGCAATATAGTATTACTTAACTTAGCCAATGATACGATGAAGTATATGCTATCGTAGCCACATTACCTTTAAAAAACGTTTAACATAAACATTTAAATATTTTTATTGCAATGGGAGTTTTTTGTATTAATTTTGTTTGGTTTAGTAAATATTTCAATACTGTTAAGTCTCATACTTTGATCATGCTTATAATAGAGCCCGCAAGTATTCCAGCCCTTTGCTTCACAAATAACTTTGACAAGCCGATATAATCTCTCAAGAACACGTTTCATGTTTACACTTCGATTTACTTGGCACTTGACGTAAGTTACGGTGTCATCCAATCGGGAGCTTAAACATCACTAAAGTGATGTCATTATCACAGTCTAATATGTGATAACATAAAGTAATGTTATTAGACTATCATTGTGGTGACGTTCAAGCCGCCGACTGGATAACACCGTAACAGCTGATTAAACGTCATGTGCCATTATAAATAAATCGAAGTGAATACTTTGGAACAATGTTGTACTGTGATGTTTCCAATCTCTCCTATTACACAAGATAGAGCGACTTCCTGGTGATCTGATCTTTATTGGGCCTTGCGTCAATAATTGAAGTCGCATCCGGGATTCTTGGATTGAAATCTGATACATCCTAGCCCGGTTTTGAACTCTCCGTTATGTTTTCATCCGTCTTCACCCCTCGAACTATGTTAAGTATCGTCAGTTTACTTTGCTCTTCACTCATTTCGAAATGTGCGGATGGGTTACTGACAAGTGAACATCAGTACAATGCCCCAAATCAAATATATACGGGATTATTTCATTTCTTATAAAGAGATGACTGTCAGTTTTAAGTTTCTATTGCATGATTTTGTTAATGTTAAATTAAGTTCATAAAAAATACACAAAGTAAGGAAACAATCCAGAATTACTAGATAATAGGAAATAAAATTGTTAATATTTTTTATTAAGTTATACTTTTTCTGTTCGTTTCTTTGGGGCAACACTTTTGCACATTATGTTTTACATCACAATATACTTTGCAATGATTATTTAAATAAGCAACTATTAAAAAACAATAAAAAAGAAAAGTAGACCAAATACAACAATAACATACATGCAACATCAAAAAAATACAATTTATTATTACAAATTTGAATGAAACTCCAATTTGATGTTGTCATGAAACATATGACATTTTACGCACATTGCTTTTGGAGTACCTTTGCAGCCTGGTTTCTTATAACGACTTTTCTTATATGCAAAAGTTGGGATGTGATCAAACTTATCAAGATGTACGTCTGAAGTAGGTATAAAATTTGTGATCTCACTCTCACACTTTTTTTCTTGTGCTGAAGTACTTGGTTCAATGCTGAATGTACTTGAAATAATAAATAACTAAATAATAAAGAATTGAGATGTCTCAGCTCAAATAAAATATGCATGGCATAACTCAGTATGGGGACTGTTGTCGTCAAAACACATTCATATTACATTCAAAAATGTGTTTATTTCTACATATATTACTAAAGATAACACAAAAATGAATAATTTGATACTCACCAAAACAATAAATTATTATATCTCTTCACTAAATCTTCAATTAAAACGAGAACAGTATTTCGAAGGACGAGCACAAAATACTTCGACTATATTCTGCGATTTATGCAAGTCTGCCCCTGGCAGGAATCAGCTGTTGACAGTTTCATCCAATCGGAAGCTTGAACGTGATGTCAAATGGTGATCTTCAAGCTCCCAATTGGATTAAATCGTCAACAGCTGATACCTGCCAGGGGCAGACTTGCATTAATTGCAGTATAGGTATCTGCCAGCACTGCCTGCATTCCGCGACGAATTTTGGGATTCCCCGCATTGAAGCCAACCTTTGAAACTTACGCCAATGAAAAGCTCTGCCAAAAGCATAAGGGAGTTTTTTCACGCAATAGCCAGGGCTGGATTCAAGGTGGAGCTGTGCAGGGGCCCCCGCAAAAAATTTAAAACAACTGAAGAAGATATACAAGAAACAATTTTGACAATGTTATTTTCTAAACAAAAGTTGGTGAAAAATCTATTGCACACAAGTATGGATGAAAATCGTCTTTCTAAACGTATACGAATGAGTTTAGATTACGACGTTTTGTGCGAAATTAATTTCAACAATATAAGAGAAAAATTGTTCAAGAAAAAATGCGAGAAGTTCACATAGCATTGATATGTTGTATATTAATTATTTGGTTTGCAAATATAAATATCCAGTATAAAAAATTGTTACTACCTATGGGGCCCACACATATTATCAGCCCAGCCCCCCTTTCCCCCTTTTTTTTAACCCGGCTCTGGCCATTAGGGACGCACTATCGGTCTTCTGCGCATGCACACTTCATTTGTGCATCTGCTTCACTTCAAGTTTCACAACATTTGTGCATCTGCGCATGCGCAGAAGATCGATAGTGCTGTCCGCTACAGAGATGACCAGAACACTTGACTTTCAGTGATTCGAAGAGCAGTATCGTCGCCTCTGGGTGGCAAGATGCTGGTATGTTATAAACTATAGTACGATTTATTTATACGCACGTTTGAAACAAATGAGCTGTTGACGGTTTTATACAATCGAGAGCTTAAACGTCACCATATTGGCATACAATCTCCCGAACGCAACCTAGTTACGTCACTGTAACGACATGAGAGCTTCCGATTAGATGAAAACGTCAACTGCTGATTTACTTCAAACGCGCGTATAAATAAATCGTATTATAATGGTTAAAATACGGTATACGTGTGGATTTTCTTTTGTCGAGATCATATTTGTTTGGAAGTTTTACTCTGCCTACAATGGTTTAAAAACATTTATGTTTTGTGTAGGTACTCTTTCTTGCAGTGAGATGTTCTTTTTTCTCTCAAATATACTTGTATTTTTACGACAACCAAGTTGTGTGCGCTATTGGATAGGGGCAAAAGTGAGCGGCAGAGGCAAAGTAAGCTTTTTTATATTCCCTATCGTTCCCAGAAATCAGGAAAGTAAAACTATAGCACCCTCAGGACAAAAGTGGATTTCTGATTGGAAGAAAGAAAAGTTGGATGGTTATTTCAAGTGTCCACCAGACCCGGCGGATAATATGGGTATGGTGGATAGCTTTACCCACACGAAATATTCCGAACGGGTAAAATACCCACTCGGAATTTGGGGTGAGAGTAATATTCTATGAATGTCAAATTATAGAAATGAAAGAAGTTTCTCCGTTTTGTGTCGACTTAAAAAGTATATGCGATCAACTATTTGCACTATCGACTCAACAGTATTGCGATTTTACATGTTTAAAGCGACGTGGCCGACATAATCGATTCGCACAAATTGATAAATGAGTTTATATAAACAAAATACAAAGCGCAGCGCTGTTTTTCATTGCAAAACTGAACTCTGCTGGAGTTTCATGAAATAAATTTGATGACAAATTAATGATAAACATGACAATTTGAGAAAAATTCTGTTTTGTATTTTTCCCTTCATGTATATTTTCAGAGAGAGATGAAGGGGAGGGGGGACCCCCATCTGGGACAGAACCCCCACTCGGACTTATCACCAATAGTCGGTTCCGGTGTCCACATACATAAAACACCATCTTTGTAATTCGTACTTCAAACGACTAAACATTTTCCCGTAATTCTCAGTAGTTTCACATGTAAACGTATGTAGATTTTTGTAACAATACAAACAACCCACTAAAAAGGCCATATTTCTGACAAAAATAAGCTGCCATCTACATGCTGAACATGTAGGACAAACACAGCATCATGATAAGTACGAGCCACTAAAAGGTTTCTGTATATTCAAGACTATTTGTTGCAGAAAATAAGCTCAAATATGACGTAGCTTACCAAATGAACTGTTTACATCTGCCACTATTCAAGTCATAAGTGCTTATTCTATTGCAAAAAATGGCGTCAAATGTTCATTAGAACTGGTCAAGTAAAATGTAGAGAAAATACTGATGAAAAATGCTAGCATTAAAATTGTTGGGGATAACACTAGTAATATTTGAAACGCGAACG